GAAACCAAAATCGCGGGAAAGTGGATCGATATCCGTGTTGACAGCGATTGTGGTGAACGTACAAAAAACGTCGCAGTAACACAAGAAGGAGTGCCTACAGGCTGTCTACCAGACCAAACTTGCTGTCTGTGGATGGATTGGTGAACAGTTATTAGAAATCTAAGCCCTCAGCCTCAAACTTCTGTTCTCTATGTCGTGGGGAACCGAAGATATTACTCACTCGATCGGATTTACACCTCAGGATCACAGTGAGGTTACTGTTTGACCCAATGAAATCATGGGTTAGGGTTTCTTGTTACTAATTGCATTCTGGTTGGGGCTAGAACACTGCATAATACTCAGTAATAACGGCTTTGAGATGCAGGAACAACGAATAGTAAGGCTCCCAATCATCAATCCGAAAATGTGGGGTATGTATCGCAGATATGCCCTTCTCCCCTCCCTTCCCCCTCACACCTCCTTCCCGGTCACAAATAGACCTACATCTAGGCATCGACGTTTACTATCCTTCCTTTGGGTGGAGTTGTGCTCTCCCGTGATTCTAGAATCTCGCGATCTCCCGTTGCCGTTTACGGGACCGGGGAAACAAACGCACATCGAGCAAACGTTTGTTACACAATGGACCGGCTGCTAGCATGATGACGATTATAGAGTAATTGCTCTAATTCACATCTCTACAAAGCATTATATTGTAATAGACATTCCTACTATTTCTCTCACAGCCCTTATAAGCGTGGTTTGCCGAGTGGAACGCAATCGCTGCGGGCGGGTTTCCTTCTAGAATATTTCTGGGTTGGGCTTGAGGCGTGGGGGTGAGGTGGGGTCGGGAGGAGGTATTTTCCTATGATGGAATATCTTTCCCCCGTAATATGTTCTTATGGTCCTTTTCTTTTGAGTGGCCGTTGTTAATTTGAAACAACTTCCACAAACATGGACTCTTACGAGGCCACGGCTGAAACAAAACTTCCCATGGAAAATTCTCCTATGATCATCTTCCTTATCTAGGGACACTGTTTGTAAACACGGACATAACGTGTCAAAGCTAACAACACATGTAGTTATCATTCGGCGACACGAAATTGAATCTAGTGGTTTATTTATAGATTGCCCTATAGCAATCCGTGATACACAATTACGCCATAGTTTTCTCCGTTGAGGGTTTTTCCTGGTAAGCAGGTGTGGGACAGCATATAATTCTGGTCATGTGCTTTATTTGTCTTCTGCAGAGTTTAGAACCGATATCTTTGCATTGTAGTACAGCTGAGGGATAAGCAACATCTATCAGGCTCAGACACATCTTGATCACCGAAATGGATGAATCAAGATAATGAGACTGTGTCGTCTATGCTTTAAGAAATCATTTACTCACGGGAGTCCGCATACACAGTAGCCTGAGGGGTAGCAAGAAGATTATTGGCCAGGGGACGTGTAGAAAGAGGTGTAGAAAAAGGGGTCGGGGGAGGAGGAGGAGGAGGAGGAAGGGGTTTAATTGATGGGCACGTGGCTGACTTTCAATCACCACATGGGTTAGTTATCGTGGAGAAGCGAGCTTTAGCGAAAGCTGAAATCGATGTGTTTCTTATCCAGTAATAACTACGGAAGAAGCAGCTGTCTATCCAATATTAGGCCACAGGGAATGAGTGGCCATCAATGCATGATGACGAGTGACTATCCATGATTCCGTGCTCAATCGGAGAACACCAAGACACAACGCCATCGACTATGTATACATATGATAGGTACGGAGGGAGAAGTGTAATGTTACAATGATCTACACGCAATTAAGTCGGGGGGTGCAAGTGCCACTATCTTGTGGGTGTCGATGAGGCGACGTAGATGCGTCGTAGTGGTACCAGTTGATGGGCGAATCAGAACCCTGTTGGTATTTCGTCCAACATCCGATGGCCCCATATGCAAGACTACGATGGACTGCATCTCATTGGATGCAGATCTCATCGCTTGGTACGAATGGTTTATTGACCTGAAGAAGTTCTCCTTTTTTGACCCTTTCACTCCCCCAACACGGGCGGAGCGAGTGATACATCTTGCTTGGTTGGAAGATAACGTGATTTAAAATTTGTAGTCATGAAAATGCGACTGTGACTGACTGTATCCATCACAGATCCCTTTCTTTGCATTCCAATGGCTGTCGTCTGAGACCCAGCTGGAAAGCTGTTGGACATGGACGCGGTTTTTTATTTTTATTCATCATCGGATATGGTAGCGCTCACCGAGGCATTTATTTATACCGTATGTTCGAAATGTAGCCACTAAAGACCCTTCTTCTAATGCTAATCCAAGCAGGCGTCGTCCAAAGGGAAATACAACGTGATTCAATTGTAAGGACTCAAAGTGCAAACACCATTGGTGGGACAATCAGTAATGCACGGGCATCACACACAGAGCACTTCAATGCCTGCAGCGAGAGAGAGAGACATTGAAACCCGTTACCAATCATACGCCCGAGTGCCAGGGTATGATGGCAACGCCTTAATTCCAGTTCTTTCTGTGCGTCCGCCGACTTCCCCCCATGCCTTTTCGTCAGCACCACGGCCAACCTTGGAGGCCCAGTCCTTCCTGGAATAAGTGATCGCCATGTCGAGCATCGAGCATCGTGGGAAAAGAAACCTGAATGGAGGTAAAAAGGCTTGTGCTCTGCATAATATCCGGCGCTTTCCCCCAACCCAAAGGCACATGCTCTTTCTCGAGTCCTCAGCCACCCCCTCCTTGTCCAGCAGGGCTGGCCAACTATCGTCAAGCTTCCGGATATGAGGTGATAGTGGCAAGCCGGTTGCAATCGGATCCTCGTAAACAGACTGCCATTCCCCCCACCCATCACAATAACATGTACGTATTCTACCGGGGGGTTATCGACCGACGGAAAATCGATATCGTCTGTGTGTTCGGCCTCCTAGCCGCGATTTCCCACCGAGATTCTCCTGCTGGTGGTACCCCCCATTTTGATGCGTCTGTATCCTCTTTGGCTTGCGGGCATCATTCAAGAAGTGGTCTGGCTTCCAGGTCTGATTCAAAAGCATCATTTCCCCCACTCGAATACCCAAGCGCCGCCTCCAAAACATAGATTGAAAGGCGCTTGCTTGATAGCCGTGAGCAATTTTCTTGCTGCGGGGGAGAGAGAGAGGGTGATGCTTGCTAGTATCACGGAAAAAGCGGTGGTTGGCGCTTGTCTTCCTGATTCAAACCAATCAGTACTTATTCTCAAGTGTAAATCAATAAAGGAAGTGAACTGTGGAACGATTTACCCTGTCTGGAAGAAAAAATGCACCTGAGCAGATCACTCATTTTTATCGACAGCAAACACCGGCAGAAATCGTTCAAGTTTTTGAATATGTCCGGCCCCCCCGAATTTTTTGCAAGAATTTATTATTTATTATAAATATTTTTTTCATAGCTTCCCACCCAGCTGCCGAAGATGTGGGGGGGGGGGGGTTATTTATAAAGTAAATATTTGGATATGCAAATCTAAATTCTCAACTTGAACATATGTATGATACTTTTATGCAGCAGGGTCTTTACCTAAGCTTATTGACTGGCCGGTTTTCCGACCTAGACCAATCAAATTGCTGGTTGAGTGATTACCGTATCAGAGTGCAAAGTCTAGACCTCGTCGAGCCCTGAAGGTGCAGTTCATGATTGTGCCCATGGTGCAGATGAGAACACCAGGCTTAGCGATTCTTGCATAACGATGGTGGACCGAAAGATTGGGGAGTTCGGCAACGCAGTGAGAGGTGGTGATAGTTGGGTGATAGTTGGTGATGGGTGGTGTTGTTGTCGCCGTGAGTTGTAGCGCTGGCAAAAGCCTTGGCTTTAAAGCCCTAAGCCCTGAGCAGTTCAACAACTACTCTAGTTAACCACCGTTGTGGCTGGATTTGCTTAGTAAGGCGACCAATGTGTAGTTAGCAGAAACGTAGCCGAAAGGCGGACGGGAAACAGATGTCAAGAAAGGGCAGACTTTAGTGCAGATTCTTGTCATGTCTTGTCTCGTCTATCATCATCACAAGTACATTTGGTTCATCGCTTCAGGTACCACGGCTTCATCAGTTCGTCGAGAAGATCCTCAATTGCAAAGGGGTGGCGTTTTGTCTCACGAGACCGAGAAAGGATAAATTCAACCACTTTACAACACCTCGCTGCCAATCTCGCTGATTGGCTCTTTAACCGCGTATTCCAGGTAATTTTCTTCTGGTGCTAAAGCCACCTGCCTAAAATATATTCCTTTCGGAGATTTTGTAAGTGAGAGGCAACCAGGATAGACGCATATATCCTTATACCCTCTCGAAACAATTGCTGATCTAAGATATATATTGCACGAAGATACTCTCTCCAGTACCTTCAACTTCAAGGTTATCATGCATACTACATGTACCTATTCTCCACACCACCTAAACTACCCTAACCCCGTCTTTAAATTTTTCTGGGGCATCCCTGACACCCCGGGCCGGCCTACCGATGTTCCTGGTCCGAATTGCGGAAGATCTTTCAGGTCAACGGTGCAACTCTGCAGGTACAACTCAAAACATTCCCGGTTTCTGCCAAAATACAGGGCCTAGATTGGGGGGTAAAGGACTGCGTACAAGGGGGTCACATCAATTAATCAAACCCTACTATGCGGAGTGTTTCCCTTATTTTCCTTTTTTTTTCTTTTCTTTAATTCTTCCATGGCCATGAGCTAAATCTACCGCGCCGGCACCGTCGGCACTGTCATAATCGACCTTATCCTCCCTCTTCCACTATACTCTAATTTCCCCGCCCCCTCTCTTTGAACTACCTTAATTTACTCTGACCTCATGAGCTCGCGATCCCTGGTATCTGGCTATTCCTCAGGACCTACAGATCGCTCATCCTTCATCTCGATGTATATAAAGAATGGCATCTCTCGTGAATCTTCTGCTCCTCACCTCACACCGTTTGCTGTCCTTCTGTGATCAAATCAGAGACTTTGTGCGCTGCCATACTGCAGCACTAATTGAGTTCTTACAATGAAGTTCACTACCGCATCCGCTTTGAGTATACTCTCCTTTACAGCCTCTGTCAGCGCCCAGAACTATGCCAGCCCCCCATACTACCCCACCCCCAAGGGCGGGTGGGTATCTGACTGGACCGCTTCCTACGAGAAAGCCCGTGTCCTCGTAAACAAACTAACCCTCGCGGGGAAGGTCAACATCACCACTAGTGTCGGATGGCAAATGGTAATCCAGCTCTATTAACAGCTTTTCTCCTGCGATACCCCTCCCAGTTGAGGGCCCTTGAGCTAATTACATATTCCTATAGGGCCGCTGTGTCGGTAACACCGGCCCCGTCTACGGCCTCTTTCCATCCCTCTGCGCGCAAGACGGTCCTTTAGGTGTACGTTACGCCGACCTCATCACCGCCTTCCCTGCCGGGATCACTACCGGCGCAACCTGGGACGCCGATCTAATGTACGCCCGCGCCAACGCCATGGGCGAAGAGTTCCGCGGAAAGGGCGTGCATGTTCTGCTCGGGCCCTCCGTCGGCCCTCTTGGGCGCTCCCCGGCAGGTGGCCGGAACTGGGAAGGCTTTGGCTCGGATCCCTATCTGCAGGGTGTCGCAGCGTATCAATCCGTCAAGGTTTGTCTTTATCTTTTTTTTGAGTGGTGAAGGGGTAATGATCATGCTGACAGGAAATTATGTGGGTGCGAGTAGGGTATTCAGGATGCGGGGGTGCAGGCGACGATTAAGCATTTTATTGCCAATGAGCAGGAGCATTTTAGAGGAGATGGGCAGGTGACAAATACGATCTCTAGCAATGTTGATGACAGAACAATGCATGAGGCCTACTTATGGGCGTTCTCTGAGGGTGTGAGGGCTGGTGTGGCGTCTGTCATGTGCTCCTACAACATGGTAAGCAAAATCCGCAACCAACAGATCGAGCATTTTCTGATTAAACAATTAGATAAACGGATCCTACGGTTGCCAGAACAGCAAACTTCTCAATGGAATCCTGAAGGACGAGCTCGGTTTCCAAGGTTACGTCATGGCTGGTATGGCCCAAATTCCTATCAAACGATCATTGACACTGCTAACATAACCAACCAGATTGGCTCGCACAACGCAGTGGTGTCGGCGCCGCTCTTGCCGGAATGGACCAAACCCAGCCTGGTGATGGATCCGGATGGGCCGACGGTGTCTCCATGTGGGGACCTGAGCTGTCCCGGTCCGTCCTCAACGGATCCGTCCCAATCGACCGCCTCAACGATGCTGTAACGCGTATAGTTGCAGCATGGTATCAGCTTGGACAGGACACCAACTACCCAGATTTGTCCTTCAGCTCATGGAGTAGCTCGGATTATGACGTGCAGTATAAGGGTTCCAACTCGGGAGCAAGTGTGTTGGTGAATAGCCATATCAATGTGCAGGCAGACCATGCGGATATTGCGAGAGCGGTAGCCAGGGATGCGATTACATTGTTGAAGAATGAAGGCTCGGTACTCCCGCTGAAGAGCAGCGATGTTATCAGGGTTTTTGGCAGTGATGCCGGACCTAACCCGAGTGGTCCTAATGGATGCACTGATCGCGGTTGCAACCAAGGAGTTCTAGGCATGGGCTGGGGTGTACGTTTCCCCCAAAGGCCTTTGATATTGATTTTCCTACTAACCGATCATTGGCACTTCCCAGTCCGGTACTGCAGACTACCCATACCTCAGCACCCCCATTGATGCCATTACAGCCCGCGCCTCAAACACGCAATCAATCCTTACAGATGCCGTTACTAGTGCCATCACCACCATGGCCAGCACCGCCAACGCCAAGTGTCTCGTCTTCATCAGTTCCGACTCTGGCGAGGGCTACATCACCGTTGAAAACAACGCCGGTGACCGTAACGACCTCTTTGCCTGGCACAACGGCGACGCACTCGTCGTCGCTGTTGCTAATGTATGCCCCAACACAATTGTAGTAATCCACTCTGTAGGACCCATCATCATGGAGAAGTGGGCAGACCTTGCAAACGTCAAGGCCATCGTTCTCGCACATCTTCCAGGCCAGGAGGCTGGTAATGCGCTTGCAGACGTGCTCTTCGGTGACGTCTCTCCGTCTGGAAAGCTCCCGTACACCGTTGGGAAGCAGGCATCCGACTGGGGCCCATCGGTTGCCATTGTGACCAGTGGTAGCGGTGCTATCCCCTCAACTTTCACCGAGGGGCTGTACATCGACTACAAGTATTTCGACAAGAATAATATTACCCCCCGCTATGCGTTCGGTTTCGGTCTTTCCTACTCTACCTTCGCTTTCAGCGACCTCAAGATTTCTACAGTAGGCACACCGACTGAGCTCCCGCCCGCCAGGGCCGCAAAGCTCGCGGTCCCAACCTACGCCACCACTATCCCCGCTGCCACTGAGGTTTCATGGCCTGCTGCAATTACCTCGAGGATTAGCAAGTACGTGTACCCCTACCTCGACTCGCCAACCACCATCACAACCGGAACCTACCCATACCCCACCGGCTACACCACCACCCCGCAGCCCGCTCCCGCAGCAGGAGGTGCCCAGGGCGGTAACCCCGCGCTCTGGGATGTGATGTACACCGCGACCGTCACAATCACCAACACAGGCTCCGTCAAAGCCAAGGAGGTCGCACAGCTGTATGTGGAGTTCCCGGCCAACACCGGCTTCGACACGCCCGTGAGACAGCTCCGTGGCTTCAGCAAGGTCGAGATCGCGCCGGGAGCATCAGCGACTGTCACTTTCGACATCACCAGGAAGGATATCAGCGTGTGGGATGTAGTGAGGCAGAACTGGGTCATCCCAGCTACGGGCACTGGGGGCTACACGTTCCATGTCGGAAACAGCTCTAGGAATCTGCCGTTGAAGTGTAACACTGTGTCTGGGTGCTCTGCATCTTCTTCTACGTCTTCGTCTGCTCTAACAGCTACGACTTCGGTGGTGGGCTCGAGTACTACGAGTGCGGTGCTGCCGACTTCGAGGACTACGACGACGAGTAGTACGGCGGCGGCTACTACTACAGCGGCTGCTGGTGGGTGTACAGCGGTGGCAAAGTATGGACAGTGTGGAGGAGTAGGGTTCACTGGGTGCACGAGCTGTGTGAGTGGATCGACTTGTAATAAGTTGAATGACTACTACAGTCAGTGTATCTAGACTCTTATAGGTTGTGGGTTAGGGATTTAGAGAAGTTGTGTAAATAAAAATATATATGTCTTTTTTTCTCTGTGAAAATGTGTATGGTGGTGGGTTGGCGCGTCATGAGTGAGCACTCGATTCGCGGAGGCTAGAAGTATGGCTCCAGAAACCGTGAACCTTAGAGCAGCGGAACTTCGAGACGACGAGAAACAGGGCCCCAACAGCTCGCTACACTCCCTTAAAAACGGAGGGTTGAGTAGTGTTTACCGAGGTGAGATGTCTCTCTCTCGGGATCGTGAGGACGCTTAATAGTGAGTATTGAAGGTCAAGCACACACCTGATCGTCCACCTAAGAGAATAGGAATACTGTTTGCGCTCTGCTCTCTGGTATCGGATTCCCCCGAAACAACCCGGACCATAGGTTCTAAAGTTGGATCTGGTTCAATACATATCTCTGCATAAGGAATAGAGCACTTCACCAGAGTAAAAACTCACCGTGCTTCTTTGCCTAATCGAATTTTAGAAACATGGTGAATTCCGAGTGATATGTTATGACGGTTATTTTCCGAAGTTAGACTGCCTGATTAATTTAGCCAGTACTCTTCAGGGTTACATGTAGTATATATAGTTTTGGACAGCTGAGATATGCCCTGCCACCACTAAGCGCGCAATCCTACTCTCTGACAGCATATTCCAGGTCTATACGGTGTACATAGCCTAGAGGGGGCAATCGCCGCCGCACAGACAAATTTGACTAGTGCTTTCCAGGAATGACGCGAGGGTAGCTATGGATAGTCAAATAGCGCGAGTCTCCACTACCATGTAAAATTCTGGAAGGAGCTGTTAAATTGATTATCAATCATCATCAATCATTACTCGAGGATTAATGAATTAAGATTCATTACGCGAGGAGGATAGAACGAGTGATAAACCATGATGCAAAATTTCCATCCTTATGAATGGTTCCCTTCAAAGATGGGACGAGGGGGCTGTTATCATACCAGAGAAGACATGCCGAATCTTAGGACCGATATCTCACTCTAGTGACAGAAGATATGAATGGTTCACTACTCCGACCAAAAAACCCTCCCAAATGAATCCAGCTTCACGACAACCCCGAAGCCTCCCCACAGAGCGCGTATGCGGCGCCTCCTCGGCCATGATCCTCTCAAATCTCGTGCCATAGAACCGCCGTCAATTCAGTTTCATTTCGACTCCTCAAGCCATATCGACGCCTGTGGAACCGAAATATATCCGATTACTATTCCTCCTCCGCACGAATACGGTCGGAATAAGACAGGCTTTTAATTTGCTTTTGCTCCGATGTACTTCTTATGTCACTTTTTTCATAACTTCTAAAATTAGTTTACTGTACCACGATGGATACACACCGGGTTCATGGATAATCACTCGGTTGATAACCGCGCCGCTTGTGTTACGTACCCCAGATGATCCATGTAATGTTTGCCGCTAGCGCCACAGATGTGCAGAGTGTGGCTCGGGGGAGAGCCGAGAGGGATTAGGGATGAAAACAACGCGAATAGGGGTCGAATCTTTTGGCGGTTATGTAAAGATTCCGGAATACGTAATGTATCCCAGTTGACACTGTCCTAGACTAGGTCCTTTTTCAGCTGTACGTCCGCCGCCCATTACCGAAGGCTAGCCATAGGTCGACCATTACACTCGAGCTTGGTGGTGAATTGCATTCATGCTATCATTTTTCAGCTCGCAATAGCCCTTTAATTGATCAATTGAGCTATTGCTTGAAGTTGGCTCCGGTGGCGGTTTGGCCTCTCACCTTATGTCAGCTGGCCACGGTCACTTTGGTGGCAACGTACCTGGGAACGCGAATATAGAACCTGGGATATCGAAGACCGATGGCACCCAACCAAATTACTAGATATTAGTTTAAACGCCACTACCCTACTGTTATAATTATTCAGCTTTCAACCAGTTTTATTATTACCCAGAAGGGATTTTACTAGTAATCTGTATTCATGTAGGGTAACAGCCTATATCTGGGCTGAATATCGAGTGATCTTATGTGAAGACACCCCATCGGCCGATTATCTACATACCAATTATTAGCAATCAGTGTTGAAACTTCAATCGAACAGAAACGTTAGCCGTGGATACTTTCTCAACGATTCTTGACCGACCGACCGACTTTGATGGGCGACTTTGATGGGCCACGTTGCAATTCACCCGCTTTCGATGCCTCCGCGGGTGAATAGAATTAACAACGATGAGTCTTAATTCCAAGCCGGCTATGGATATATGTACTCAGGTATTATGTGCATTCCAGACATCTGCGGGAGATCTTAAAGACGGCTTTCTCAATTGATAGCTTTTGAGGGAGCTTGTACTTGTGTCAAATCGAGTGACTTCTTGTGACAGCAGATATCATGATTTGTCATCGACACGACCGTGCCACCGTTTGGTCCAAGTTGCTTCGACATCTCGATCTTCCGGGGGCGATTATAACCAGGCTAAACGCCTGAATTGCTTGCTGGGAACGGGCTGCTGCAACTGCTTCTGGGACCATCGTCCGCTTAATCTTCAGCTCGTAGCGTGAGCCGCAATTCAGCTGTGCGGGGTAGGAAGTATCACGCCAACATGACTTGCATTGACCCCTGCACACCTGCATACGTAGAAAGTCGCAAACAAGGTGCTCTAGGGCTGCACACAGATTAGCAAAAGCAACTAAAGCGAGCCAAACAGAAAGAGACTGAGAGAGCTGGTTGGAAGTTGAGACTTGAGATCACACACACGTCTATCCGTTCGTTGGCCGTAGCTTGATCTGCCCTACCTACCTGCTCACCCGTCTGGCACTGAAAAAACATTCCACCCCTCCTCAACACCCCTCCTTACCTTCGCCATCCTTCCATCTTCATCCATCCTCATCCATCTTCATAACCCCCACCCTCTCACCCTTCCGGATACTCTTTTCCCATCAAACTTCATCCCCACTCGAAAAGAAAACTACCACATTCTGTAATTATGGATCAAGATACTCTCATCACAAATTTCTGTGATGTTACCGGTGCGGATCCTGAGCAGGTTTGTTTACCTCTTATCCCTCTGGTATCCTTCCTCTAAGCTATGCTAACAATGACTGCTGATTCAAGGCTAGCCATTTCCTCGAAGCTACAAACTGGAACCTCGAGGTAATTCCATCCATCTACTCGCCTAGCTAACTTCATCTATGGAGGCCTGAAGTACTGACGTAAGGCTGTAGCTAGCGACCGCCCAATTCTTCGAGAGTAATGAGGAGGAAGATCTTATGGAAACTGGTGCCTCCGCTCATGTAGAAAGCGAAGACGATGATGACGTCTATGCGCCAAGTGCTAGAGCCTCAACCTCTAAATCAAAGTAACAGATTGCTTTCTATGTGTGGTGGTCTACTTTCTGGGGGTACTAACATCTTTTCAACGTACAGGGCTGCCTCGAGATTTGCAACCTTAGGCGACCTGCGAAGTAAGAGCAACGATGATGAGGATGACTCAGAGGACGAGAAGCAGGACCTTTTCACCGGTGGTGAGAAATCGTAGGTTACACATAGCCGAGATGCGGCCAGCTTAAACCGCGACATGAAGAAGCGAGGGATGCTAACGTTGGTGCCACAGGGGCTTGGCTGTTCAGAACCCCGGCGACCCACGCAAAGGAGGAATCATTCAAGACATTTTGAAACGTGCAGCAGAGTAAATACCCCCACTATTTGAAGTTATTGTTCGGTTTATTGACTTCCAAAATCAGAGGTGGTAGTAGTCAGCGAGCAAGCGACGAGGTTGAGCCCGGTCCATCACGTCCCCGCTTCTCCGGAACTGGGCGTACACTAGGCAGTGATGAAAGTCCTTCTATTGAGATCCCCGATCCCGCAGCTCCACGTGCTCCCCCTACCGTGCCTACAGTTACTCGAACTCTCACCTTCTGGAGGGATGGGTTCAGCGTTGAAGATGGCCCTCTCATGCGTTATGACGACCCAGCCAACCAAGAAGTCCTTCGTGCGATCCAAAACGGGCGCGCGCCATTGAGCTTGATGAATGTTGAGCCAGGCCAGCCGGCTGATGTTAACGTCTTTAGGCGTCTAGAGGAGGACTATGTTCAGCCAAAGAAGAAGCATGCGCCATTTTCTGGGCAGGGAAATAGACTTGGTTCACCCACTCCTGGTGGGGAGTCCTCTACCTCTACAGCTGCGCCTATAGTCGCCCCTGCTGCGAGGACGGCTGCCCCAGCCCCCAGCGTCAATGTCGACGCTTCTCTTCCGACGACCACCCTTCAGATTCGTCTTGGTGATGGAACAAGGTTGGTTAGCAGGTTCAACCACACACACACCGTTGGCGACTTGTACGGCTTCGTCAATTCTTCAAGTCTTGAGAGCAGGAGCAGGAACTACATTTTGCAGACCACCTTCCCTAATAAGGAGCTTAGCAACCAGGAGCAGACGATTAAGGAGGCGGGGTTGGTTAACGCGGTTGTCGTCCAGAAGTGGACTTAATAATTTCAACGGAGAGATTTTGGAGGAATAATCTTTGAGAATTTCGGGGGTTTTCTTCTTTCTTTTTCTGGGGGGGTTTTGTTCTTTGAGGGGTGGGGTAGCGAAACTAGGTTCTGGTATACTGGCGCTTGGCTGCTACTTACTACACACGCGGGCATAATTATACTACCTACTTTTTCTCTCTAAATTTCTTGCTTTTCCGATATCGGAACTAAATGGGACGCACCGGAGTGGAATCCGGAGATCTAAAAACATTGTAGAATTGACAATTAGTTTGATCATTGCACAATGTCAGGAAGCGGGTAAAGCAAGGGTTAGGGTTGGGCACAGGCTTTAATATCTTTAGCGGTCTACATTATATTACTATCATTATCACAGCCATACTACAATAAATATTGATATATCTACACTCGGGTTCTTCTAGGCATGTAAGAGAGAGAGAAAGAAGGCGCAACTCCATTAATGGTAATTATTTTATAGTATCTGAAGCTATATCAGAAGCATAACTACTGTGTACACAATCATTGAGTCTTCGTGAGCACAAAAGAGACAAAAGCAAACCAACTCCAGATCGTAAGGTAAAAGGGGGAGGGAGGGGGAGGGAAAGGGAAAAAACTTTGATACACACAGCCCTCATCTAAACAGCCTCCCCACGCCCGCCCCAGGCCCGTCACCCCCTGCACCAGGCCCCGCCCCAGCAGCACTCGGCGAGCCACCCCCGACCGCGCCACGGAAACCCATACTGCCCGCCATCTCAACCTTATACCTCCTCGCCGCCTCCCTGAGATGGTCCGGCAGCAGCGGCCCCTGATCGCCCCACTGCCGCTGTATCTGCAGCGCGAGCTCAATGATCTCGCCCGTGAAGACCTTTGAGAATCCGCAGATCACGGTGCCGACGTTGGCTGTGACCGACTGCGAGAGCACCTGGTTGGCCAGCTTCTTGACGGCAGCTTTGTTGAGGTTGGACCGGCGGAAGGCTTCGTAGCGGCGGTTCTGGTCCGCGTCAAACGAGTCGAGGAGGATCCTGTGCGCGTCTGTATGTTAGAATGTAGAGCCAAGCCAGAGGTTGGTTTGGGGGGGGGGTGGGCGTCCATACGCCAGCTTGCGCTTCTCGGCGTCGTCCTCGGCAAAGCCACCGGCGCTGCCGTCCGCGAGGACTGTGGTGGTGCCGTAGTCGTCCCGGCCGTCGTCCTCGTCGTCCTCGTTGTTGTTGTTTGTGGTTTGGCTTGCGGCGCCGCCGGTGGCGGTGAGGACGCTGGGGGAGCGGCGGCGGTCGATCTCGGATTCGGGGGGGAAGGAGGTCTGGCGGAGGGGGTGGAGGTGCTTGTTGGTTGTGGGGGTGTGGAGCGTGCTGTTCTTGCGCGTGGGGAGTTTGGGTTTCTTGGAGGAGGTGGGGGGGCCTGGGGGCGGGAGGGAGATGCGGCGTTTGTGGGAGGTGGAGGGGGTTGTGGATGGGGGGGAGGAGGCAGGGGGGGAGGACATGGCTGTGTGGTGGGGTGTGGTGTATGTGTGGCGGAAAGGAAGGGGGGGGGGTGGTGGTGAGGGGGCCGTCGATGGTGATGGAGTTGGGGTGTTGTGGTGGTGTTGAGTGTAGAGTGAGGTTTGGTGACTGAGGCTTGGTGTTGTTAGCTAGGGCGGTCGCGATTGAAATGCTTGGGATTGTTGGGCGCAGGACGGAAATAGATGAGGCTCAACGAAGCTTCTGAGCATGTTCTGTTCTGTCCTGGCCTGGCCTGTACTTTTGCGGCAAGTAACTCTCTCAGCTAGGACACACCTCACCGGTACATCTAGTCAAGTACCCCACACGCCACAGCCTCATGCTCAGCTTGAGGTGGAAGTGGCATTTGAGATCGGTATCTGCACTTTGCGGTGATGATGATGCCCCACCTTTTAATTTCCCCAAGCTCGCTTCTTTCCTTCGCGAATTCTTGGCCAATTGGTACCGTTGGTGGCCTCTTGCATTAATTAACGAGGCCAACCTGGTGTGGGTTTAGGTGCTGCGAGCTGTCAAAGCTTGAATTGCATGCAAGATCCCTCTGCTTCAAAGTGTCTTGCAGACATCTCGCTCGCCTGGAATCTCCACGGTGTTCACTATTCAGAGAATCAAATGACACCTAGTGTGGCTTGATAATGGATAAAAGGCAGAGAAAGAGCCCTGCTCCTCTTGATAACCTTATTCTCTCCGTTTATTGCCAACCATGGGAGCTTTGACGTTATTAGAAACATTCCCATTGAGAGGAATTCCAATATCTGCTCGAGTTTCAAGAATAGCAATTGAATGAGGTATCCATCAGAATGAACGGTAGAAAGCGGGCTAATGCCTACTACCAACTGAAATTCCCGTTCCAAGACCTTTGGCTATTATTCAGATACTGGAGACGGATGTGAGCAACTGGAACCGAATTCCTCTGTTCCCTGCGCGGGGAGAATCTCAGATCTCCACAATACACCGCTTCTTATTTTGGGAACGAAAGATCAACTAGATCAGATCCGAACTGCTATCCAGGAACCCAAATATTTAATTGGTCGACCGCGCAAGGCTGGCTGACGAAGCACTCACGAATGGAGGGTTCCTTCTCCACGATAGATTAAGTTTTCGCATGAAGCATCCACCACACCGACTGAAACCCCATCTCGGCCCCCGCGCGTCGCTGGAGGGGTGGGAATGCGGCTTTGCGCCGAAAATACTTTCCCCTCCGCCGGGGAAGCCAATATGCGGTTCTTATTACTGCACTTGGAACCGTGGTTGGGGTGGGCTATTTTTTTGCCCCATCCTATGTCTATACCGACAGAGCAGGAGTTCAGAGAAAGGGTTCGCTCACCGACTCCGGTGTACCAGTGATCGTAAGGCGGCGCGGGGAGGGGGAGGATTGATGACGGACGGTTGTACGGCACGCGATTGGGAGAATGTAGTGAATGTTACTAATTTTAGTAGCATTTTGGTAGAACACAACAACAACCAACAGTCGAAATGGGATAGAATCCGATCAAAACAGATATTGCAGAAATGGGAGTTTAGATTGAGAGGTAGGAAAATAGCCATATTGGTACCAAGATATTCAAGCAATCGCTAAATGCGTGTCAAGCATTGCACAAGACATCTTACTGGTACCCCTACACTACTACATGTAGCTCCTGTAAGCAGGTACCGGTACCTTCTGCTGCGTGGGTCTGGCGAAGGTTCCAATCGATGTGGTAAGGAAAGAAAGGCCGGGCTCAGACATTGCACAGCCTAATCAGGACAAAGATGCTCTCGCAATTGTTTACCGAGCAATCTTCACCAATGTGCTTAAAGGTTGTGACTTCTGCCCGTTCTGTTTCTTGCATTCGACACTTTACTTTCATGCCTGAGAAGGAAGGGAATACTACATCTTGACGATAGTCCCTGCTCCCCCTTACCTCTTTCTTTCTTTTCTTTTCTTTTCTCTTTTCTTCCCCACATTCTTTTAAATCACGTTTTTGTTTTAAACCTTTTTTTTAGATCATCTGGTTTCACTCTTTTTTTTTTTTTGATATCTTTATATCACCACTTTCTTTAATTTAGAAAATTCCAGAGTAACAGCACTAGCAGGAATATGCGTTTCTCAGGATTATCAGCCGGGGCAGCGGCTCTCGCCCTTTCAACACTGGTTAATACAGTAGTTGCAAAAGAGGACCCATGCAGTGTATTCGCCAAAAAGCGAGGAAACAGTAAGTGATCCCCCATCCCTAACTATTTATCTCAAATCTGTACCAACAGCCATACCTGCAGGGACTCAAGGCCTAGATGCAAAACTCTGGCTTGCCTGTATCAAGAACGTACCCTTTAACCAGGACCGCTCGGAAAAGACCATCCTTGGCCTCCGCAAGATGCTTGGACTCCAGAGCAGTGTTGTCTACCATCTTAACCCCCCCTCAGAACTCGAACTCCAGCCCTTCAATGTCAATAAGACGCTGGACGAGATCGAGCAGAAGGTCAAGAACAAGGGTAACACCTACAAGTCAAACTGGGAGTTCGACTACGACCTCGTGAAGATGTTCTACCGTTTCCGTGACGGACACACCCTCTACGAGCCTGCATGCACGCACGGGTACCAGTACGTGCACCAGTACCCGGTCATTGCCATGGCGGACAACACCACCGGAACACCCGAGATATACCATATCCACAAGAACTACACCACCGGTTCGTGGCAACAGGGTGTGCTGGGTCAGAAGATCGCCAAGATCAACGACATGCCCGCGGCGGACTATATCCGTGATTTCACAAAGAACTCACCAGAGTTTTTCTCCTTCGTAGACCCGGATGCACGATGGAACGAGATGATGTACTCATTGCCTGCCGGTGACAGTAGAGGTCGGTTTGCGAAGCGTCAGTTGTGGAATGGCGAGGACATCACCCTTACCTGGGCGAATGGGACAAAGACAAAGGTTGAGTGGACACTCACGCTATACCCTGCCATGGTCAAGGATGGAGAGTTGAAGTTCAAGGACACCAAGGGTCTGGAGAAGGTCTGCTTCTTGTCCAAGAAGGAGATCAAGAAGATCACACCCCGCAAGCCCAAGAACAAGAAGAAGAAGCCTAAGAAGAAGAAGGTTGTTGCCGCCCCCAAGAAGAAGAAGGCTCCCAAGAAGCCAGAGGGATACCCGCAGATCGCCCATGCTGGTCCGGAGTACACAATCAACTCCTTCATCCTACCCAAGGACAAGAAGACGGCCGTTCTCACCATCCGCAAGTTCTCCGTTAAGGCTATGGACGACGATAAATTCATCCTTGCCTTCCAGAAATTCGTCAAGGACTCTATTATCCGCTGGAAGAAGGATGGTGTTGAGCGTCTCATCATTGATGTCACTGGCAACGGTGGCGGTAAGGTTATCCTCCCGTACGATGTCATCACTCAGTTCTTCCCGCAGAAGGCTGCCTTCACCAGCATCAACATGAGGTGGAGTCCTACTACCTGGGCGTACATGAAGTCAATCAGACAGGGCAAGGCCGCGGATATCTTCACGGATATGGACGGCAAAGACTTCAAGAACCAGACTGATTGGTTGGGCCCGCAGCCGGGTCCTCAAGGAGAGTACTTCACAAAAAGGTGGAAGCAAGATTACATGCAGCTTGCTGCTGACGACTACAAACTTGATATCACTCACAACACTACGCAGCCCTTTAGCCATGAGAATATCATTGTTGTAAGTTCTTTTCCTTCTTAGTGTCTTGATTCAGCTATTGATTTCTCGATAGGTCTCCAACGGTATCTGCGCATCTGCCTGCCACTCCTTCGTCGAGGGGATGCAAGAACAAGGTGTCCGCACCGTCGCCTATGGTGGCCGCCCCGACCGTACAAAGCTCATGCAAGCCGTCGGCGGAACCAAGGGTGGCAAAGTTCTTCCTTTCCGCTCTATCATCTCCGGTCTTAAGAAGGGTGTCAAGAATGCTACGCTCGTTGACCGCCCCTTCGAGGAGTGGTTCCCTCCCCCAATCCCCGTCCGTCTCACTGCCGCTACCATCAACTCCGAGAACAAGTTCCGCCGTGGATCAGACACTCCATTGGAGTTCACCATCACCCCCGCCTGCCAGCGCCTTTCCATCACCAGGGAGACCTTCACCGATGTTATGACTTTGTGGCAGCAGGCAAGGGACGCTGCCTGGGATGACAAGGGTGTTCCAAAGAAGTGCATGTCTGCGGCACCCGCTATCCCTGGTCGCCCGACTACTAGCACTACAAAGAAAACAAAGAACCTCCCGTTGAAGAACCTTGGAAAGAAGAAGCCCGTCAAAAAGGTCATCAAGAAGAAGGTCATTAAGGGAAAGAAGGTGGTCAAGAAGATCACTAAGAAGGTTAACAAGAAGAACAAGCAAGTGATTGTTGGAACCAAGAAGTACTCGCTCACAAACATTCGCAAGGCTGTATGGGATCTCCTTACTGCTGCTGGTGTCCGATAAATTCGCCAGCTAGTCTAGTCTTTTTTGTTCTTCTGCCCTCTTTACTTCCCTTTTGCGGCGGTTAAGATCCGGTCTCATTCCAGTTTCTCTCTGACCCATAGACCGAGATGACTTTCTTCTTTTTTCTCCTTGTTTTTTTGGTTAGAACTCTTTGGGAGCGGGGGGGACAGGCGTCTTGTGATTGGGTATGGGACATAGTTTTTCCTTGGTTCAGCAGGAGTTTCATGCAAAAACGGACGATGGTGTTTATGTTTTTTTTTACTTTCATGTATTGTCTGGGTTTGTCCTTTGCTGTATGTGTTTTTGTATCTTTTTTTTCTGTTCCCGTTTATTATCTAAAGGGCGTTTCTAAACTTTGCTTTTTTTGTGTGTGTGCGCGCATGTTAGATACCAATTGGGAATTACATTTTAGACTTGACATTTTTTTTGGCCCGGTAGATACATGCAAATGTGAAGATACATGTACCTACTTGACCTGTAACTCCTCCTCGACTTTATTACTCAGCCACAATTGACCGGGGTCAAGGACCACCCCTCCCCTTCCTATAATTAGCAACTCCCACCGGTGCGGCGTCGAGGTCAAGTACTACCCCTTGTAGCGGGCGGCGGTACTTCGGTAGAGTGTAGGTACAAGTACATATAACTGATACACTGTAGTATCTCTCGGTGGAGGTGGTGGGTAGATATCGCAATGCTACCGGAGTACATAGGCGAGTGATGATCTGTGATTGAAAGTTACACACGAGGAAATAACAATCTCCTGCCTATTGTGTATCCATTGTGGATTCCACAGATCCAGAAGAACGGGATGAACCCTCAAGGGGACCGGCATTTTGTAATTGTATTAGATTTTTATGAATAACTATGAAAGATAGACCTCAGAACATTCCCAAATGGTATTTTTTTAAGAGCATTAAATACCTAAATTTTGGTTATCGCAAATCAATAGCCTTGACTGAACCCAGTAAGCAGATCTCGTTGCTCAGGCAATGCTGCAGATTTTGTTGCCTGGCTATCTCCAAGGCTTGGCGACTGAGAGCAACCTCATGATCCATCACTCGACTCTCTACATCTATCACGCTCTTCGTGCACTGCACCAAAAAGAAAAGACCAAAACAACGTCTTGATTTACCTCTGTGTGTACCCCACAAACCCCTCCCCCAAAGCTCCCGCAAAGAAACATTTCCTCACTACAGAGAAGACCATAACAAGGTCCTGATTTCCCCCCCTTTCTTTCTAATGCGTGCCAAGGTCATGTCTGTGCCGTATCAGCCCAACGTCATGCCTGTACCGTACCAGACCCGATTCTTTAAGCGCCAGCACTACGAGGCCGCTACCTCACCTTCAGTGCAGCCCGATGGTTTTAGCTCTCCGAGAACTCTAGGGGATGATGGCGGTGTGCGCCTCAGGGATTCCGGGGACGAAGAGGAGGAGGAGGAGGAGGCGGAGGAGGAGGAGGAGGCGGAGGAGGAGGGGCAAGGGATGGAGAGAGCCCAGGCCAGGAAGAAGAGAAAGATTTCTTGTGAGGAAGCTCTGCGCGCGCTCAGGACTATTGAGATCTATTTCGCCCAGGAGGGCCTCGACCCGCAGGAGGAGTTCTTTCCGGACTTCTTGCAGATGCGCGGGGGCATTGTTAGGGCGGGAGAGGAGCAGGCCGGCGGTGAGGGCGAGGAAGAGGAAGGGGAGGGGGAGGAGGAGGAAGAGGAAGAGAGTGATGTCCCGAGCGAAATTTCTTCCTCCTCTTCCTTGGGGAGTGCGTATTCGGGTGGTGATGAGGGTGAGGGAGAAGATTAGCACGAGGTAGGTTTCTAATATTGCTGTATGGTGGGGAGAAAGAGAGAAGCTAATAATGCCGGTTTAGTAAGAGGGGTTTGATGGGTCCATGAGGTACGAATAGGAGATCATGCCTCACTGGAAACGGGACAAATCAAGCGGCGTTCAACAATCCTTTTTGTGTAACTCTTCGAATCTCGTGTAACCTTTCCCGTGCAACTCTTCTCGTAACTTTAACGCAAGAGGAAAGAAGTCTAAATAAGAAATATCACAGTTCTGGATATTTGGCCCTTGCATTTAATTTAGTGATAAGGTTCCGTTCCAAACACACGTGGAGAAACTTAGCTATTAGCGTAGTTTCCCATTAATTTGCATCGCTACGCTTGCCAACTTTGCCCATGTATATATATATCCATCCATTGAAGCGAATCGCAGCAACCATTAGGATATCACCATCATACCTATAAGCTTACTAGGCATCGTCGGTATATATGTAGATTGGGGTTGTGATCGAGTTGAACTTAACAGGAGTCAAGTCTTCGATGCAGGATAAATCGGAGTTAGGGCCGGGGAAACCACCGCCTCCATCGATGTCGACAATCTCTATAGGGACTAGAGCCCTGGTGGAATATACCCATCAGCACCGCTAGATCTTGTCACACTTTATTGATGGTATGAGCGAGGGTATAAAGAGCCATCAGCAGGGTGCACCTAACTCGTGGGCCCTCCGCATTACAACCTGCTCCCACCCAGGACCAGAATAGATGTTCAACAAGCCACATTCCCTCATGTAGTATCAACATGTATCAATGTTCCGCACCCACATCCGCCCCTTGAATAGTTGGACAAGGTCTTGTAGGGTCTCTCCGCCATATCTATCTTACATGGCAGGTGAAGAGATGTTGGTGATTCGAAGAGGCAAAGGCAAGAGTAAAGCCCTGTGGTCCAGTGGTAATTCTCTTCCGCTACGGTTTACGTGTGCGCGTACAGGAGATCTTCATAAACGCGAACTGTTCAGATTAGATACTAGTTAGCACGGGTGACAATGTGACACTGTTGCGCTATCTGGTCAAGCCAGATATTGCCCTTCTCCGAATAGAGCGCTTCGAGAGTAAGTAGCCCCTCAGCTCCTCGAATAACTCCAAGAACGGAATCTACCAACCGGAAGTAACCGACCGAGTGATACATCGTGAACATAAATAATACATTACGCGAACAGCCGCTCTAAACCATTGAAAAAAAAATAATATAATTCCAACCCGATTGTAGCTAAAAATAAGTACAGTTGGTCACATGGAGAGGGAAAAAAACCCCGGCAATAAAAGAAAAATACATGGGGGAAACACAAAACAGAAAACGCCCTATTCCTACCATACCAAACAGTGCCAATCATACCCTAGAAAGAAAGTAAAAACCCAATCGCACCGTAATCGTATCATATCATAATTTGTACCTACTGATCCCTCTTTCTGCGCTACTAGTAAACTAGGTAAACCAGAACAGACAGAGGGTCGCAAAACATTGAAAAGAGCGCACCTATCTCGCAACTCTTGAAAAAGGGATTCGGAAAAAGCAAACAACAAAAAATCAGCCAGCACCAAACAAAAAAATCCAACCTTGGCCGTGATTAAAAATGAGCAGAACAAAAAGGGAAAAGGAAAGGAACCAAACAGCCCGAGTAAAACCTTAGAACCAGCCTATCCAGCTAGCTATTTTTCGGTGATCCTGCCACCTGTAGTAGCAGCGCCGATTCCAGTGGTTCTGTCCTCCTCCACGCGCTCCTCACTGCCATCGGAGAAGCGCTTTCTCAGGGTGTATGTGGTCCTGGTGACGCCGTCTGGGCCAGTATAGGAGCGCGTCGTCGCTACCGTCTCTACCACCCTCAATTTCCCATCTTCCTCCGCTGGAGTTGAAGTCGAGGTTGTAGTAGAGGTGGAGGAGGATGTGGTAGTTGTCAAAATACCCCTAGCTCCAGCGCCTACCTGTGGAGATGGGGGAGCAAGGACATTGTACGCGTCCAGCTCCGTCTCCTCTCCTCCCTCAATCCTACGCAGCAGCCCTAGCTTCCCATCCCCGACCATTCCCACACTCCAAAATAATGGCGCGGTAGCGGCACCCTTCGCCTCCCTCTTCCCCATCATTCCCGTACCCCAAACATCCCCCCCGAGAAACGGTGCCGTAAAGTCACGATGCAGCGTGCGCATCTGTTTCCACACAAGGGCTAGCTTCTCCTCGTCTTCAGGGCGGAACATGCGTTCGCCGAGAAGAGAGTACTCGGCCATTCTGCCACGCGCTGATTGTGGTTGTTGACTTTGGGATTCCTCAGCAGTGGGGGCGGAGGCGTTGGGCGTGGGGGTCGGGGCGACAGCAGTGGTTGTGCTGGTGCTGGTGGGACGTGGGGGGGCGTCTTCTTCATCCATGATCCAATTACTAGTCGGAGGAGGTGGCATTGTGGGTAGACCAATCAAGCTGTGAAGCACAGAAGCGATGTGGTGGTCTGTGAAGCGTCGAATGCAGTTGAAAAGGTCAGCTGGTGGGGGCCCTGGTGTTTGTTGAGGTGGTGTGGTAGGGGTTGAGGTGTTGGTGGGTTTGTCGGTATTGTCGGTGGAAGAGGACATGCTGTATTGCTGTAGTTTTGGTTTACCTGTTGAAGGAAGAACCCAAGTTGTGTTTGTTGAAGTTGACTAGGTTGGGGAGTTGATCGTGTGGTGCTGTCTGTTGTTTTTTGGTTGTTGGAGAAGAAGGGGGCGGGCGGTCCCGAGTTTAAAGGTGCCTTTTGCTTGAGTGCAGCCAAGAAAATCGATGTCTCTAAACCCCGGGAAACGTTGAGTGGCGGAGAATTCATCAGGGTCTCCGGAAGTAGAAAAAAAATTGACAAAAGTGTGGGGTGATAGCCCAAAAGTTGCAAGGATTTTAGACTACCAGTCATAACAAAGAATCAATGGTCATGGGAGTTATCCGAAGGCCTCAAATGGAGCTTGATCTGTGGAAACACGAATTCGGAAGCTGAAACGCACCAGTCCGATGGTGAAGCTGGGGCACGATGGGGAGTCCTCAATGACTGTAATATGCAGGCAGGCATGATTGCAGGCAGAAAAGGGTATGTACACTATTGACACGGAGTACGAGTCTTTTTCTAGTATCTATTGAATACTGTTAGTTAGTTAGCTGTAGAATTAAGAAGGGCGCGACCGTAGAGCAGTTTAGTTATTTTGCCTCTTGCCATCTTCTGAATCATTTTACCCTCGATATGCACTCCTTGTGCTCCTGCATGTGCATTGAGCATCATCACCAGATGGATGGCCCGGTCACGCATGCGTGATCTCCTCTGAAACACCGTGACCCCCTCCTTCTAGTGGCCCCTCTCCATACGTCATCGCCAGCACACACGCCGGGTAACCCTCCACGCCTGAACCTCAACGCATTCCCGGTGCGCGTATGTACCCCCGCGAAAAGTTACCCCACACGGCCAGTTCCTATCTACATCTGCTACAGTAGCTCTAGTACAACATGACCTCACCCTCGCCCTCCTCCTCATTCGTGGTACCCCCGTCCATAACCGCGTCTTCGTCATCGTCCGGCGAAGAGTCCGAGTCGCCAGTGGTCGTGTACCGCCCGCCAACGCTCATCTCACTCGTGAGGACCGCGGCTATAAACCTCGTCCTCCCGTTCATCAATGGCCTCATGTTGGGCTTTGGGGAGCTCTTTGCGCATGAGCTTGCGTTTAGATGGGGCTGGGGTGGTACTAGGGTATGTGTTTCTCCCGGGGTGTGGTTCGAAATATTGTGTTGGGTAGGGCTGACGGTGATCATGAATATATAGGTGTTCCCACTACACAGGGCCACAAGGGCGATAGGACCGGGTATTGAGGTTAGGGAGAGGAAGAGGTCGAGGGATGAGTTGGCGGACTTGACAAGCCTCGAGTAGGAATGTCAATCCTTTCTTTTTTTTTTTTTTAGCTGTGCATAACTTTTATGAGGGTTTTTTCTTTTCTTTACGGGGTTTTGAGGGTTTGGTATGCATATTGCTGTGGTTTTTAAATGATATCCAAAGTTAGCCAGCATCTGGGTTGACTAGGGGTGTTGAGTTAGTAGATATGTTGGCTCGGGTACATATGTTTGCATGAGCCTTCCATGGACTCATAAAGGGTTTCTCCTACCAGTATCAAGTTTCCTTTTTTTTTTTTTAGATTGTGAATTATCGGTCTTTCAGTCTTTTCCGGTAGAAGATACAACGGAGTATGCCTCTGACAAGGTTATAACAAACAAGACCTTCAAGAATAAGCATTAACCAGCTACGTTTAAAATTCCAACCTTTCAGCCTCCAACCCAATGCCATTAATTGATTCAACTCCCAACCGCCAAGAACCTATGAGTGATGTGTTCGATGTGAAGCCGTTCAGTAAACTACTATTTAGGTAGCAGGGATGTGGCGGATCGAGTGATATACTGTGATCATGATTTGTTATCTTCCCCCTTCCCACCTCACATCGCACCAACAATTCACTTGAAACTCCAGGGAAACAAAATCTGCTAGATAAAACCAATCAATTTCTATAATTGAAGAATGGGGGATTACATGTATGTATGGTTAACAGTTTTCACCGACGTCGTGCGAATGATCATTGGCACCACAGACGCGCGTACGCCGTCGGTGGTCACGTAACGTCACTTCAACCTACCCATCACATGCCCATCCACCTCTACCTACATAAAGTCCCACCATCCTCTAATTACATCGCGTCTGATGTTTCAAACAGCGAGCTATCTATCGAAAAGACCCACGACGAATATATCCAAGGGCGCCAGGCCAAGTCTATCTTACGATGGGAGGTACCCTATATTCTCGTACCGAGACTTTACCTCAAAGGAAGTGGCTCATGAAGACACCACCTCTGGAGGCGGCGATCCTGTTATCCCGCTCCTAAGAACACTGATTTTTAAAAGCAGGGCAATGCTACTACGCCTGAAGTTTCGAATGAGGTATTCGCATTGGCGGGGACTTCGGTAGAGCTCCACTTGGGGATTCCGTCGGCCTTTATCAACTCACAGATGCATATAACGAGGCTCATCGGCCACCGGATTATTCGGGTGTCTCGGCTGAAAACCGTCACGCTCAAGGCAGAAGCATTAACGGATGATTTATCTCGAAGTAGCTTTTCATCTCGCTTTATGGACTACACAGCCCCTACTACTGATCTGGCTCGGTTATAGCTTCCTTGGCTGTGGCGGTGTTCTGTGAACTCAGAACTGACTGCTCAGTAACATCGCCTGAAGCAATCGGTTACTCCGCTAACTTCCCTTCTCCTCTTGAACATGATTTGGTTCATAGTTGGAGTGCTGGGTCAGATTATATCTCTAGACGCGCTTCTGGGGGTATGGTTAACCTGGGGGTATGACCAACTCCTCACAAAATCGAAAACGACTTCAACAAAATAGCACTCTTGGTCCCTCCTGACAATTAAAACGGTTCTTGGATTTAGGTGGAATTAATCATACCCCCAGTTTAACCATACCTCCGGGGTCGCGTCTGCCACCATCTAAAGGGCCATCCTCTCGAGGCACGTACAGGCTAGAAATGAGTCAAATATAGCCCCGTGAGCGGTTACATCATGGTCATAATGTAAGGGATTGTATACCTTTCTAGGAAGCTGGTGGACTTTGTTTAATCAGCCTTTCTACATCTCTAGCCACTCAAAAGTGTGGGACTCCTGATCCTGGAGCAACATAATAAATAAAAAAAAGGAGAGGCTATATACAAGGCCTAATTTACCCCCCTCCCCTACAAGGAAGAGATTTCACACCAGACGACGAAGTTCTGAAGTCTATGACAATCTTACACCTAGGTCGCAGAATGCTAATAATATGAACCAAGAAGGCCGCAGCATAAAAAGGGAAGGCAGAAGATGGAGCTGCAAAAAATAGGGAGAGAAGAAGAATGAATGAGACGTGCAGGCGTTTGACTGGAGTAAACCACCCTCTCCAAGAATCTAAATTAAAAGAGCTCGCCATTGAACGCCTTGAAATGCATAAGAATCCACGATAGCTACGTCATTGGTAAGGAAGGAACAGACGAACCTGAAGCTAGCTCTTCGAAAGAGTTATTCAGCTCTCAGCATTTGGTCTTTTCTCCACTTTTTCAACTCATCTAGTAAGTAGAGGAGTTGGCAGGTTTCTTTATTATAAACCCGGTTCCAACCTCTCTTATAACCTCTGGATGGGGCCGTTGGAAGGAAGTGTTCCTATTATCTATTGGGTCTATGGATTCGGCGGGTAGTATATGTCAGCTCAAGCCATGTCCCTCAACGCTGGGACTATTTACCGGGGCCAGGCGATATCTTCTGGTCGAAGATATTCAGAAAACATACCCTTCGCAAATTAAAACAGTAAGCTGGATTAAGAAGCATTTGGCGTTTAAATATAGAGGCATTGTTGAAGGATCTATTGTTCAAGCAAGCTCTCGAGTCAAGCCAGTTCGAGCTTAATCGCCAATACGTTATAAAAACGCCAGGAAATAACGAGTGTACTACGGGAGCTTGTAAAATTGTTAGCGACGTTGATTCCAACCTTTATTTTCTACCTACATACCTCTGATAGACAGTTCATTAGATGAAGATAGCAGGTTCCATTTACATACACTCAGCACTACAAATACGAACTGAAAGCTGCTCTCATCGATCGAGACGACGCAGAATTCCACTTCGGGTTAGGCGTGACCAAGATTCGATGCCAATTTGACTAATCCGAAAGAAATATTTCAGCCCAATGAGTTAATAATAAATCTATCGAAGTCACGGAACATCACTCGGTAAACATCGACTAACGAAGCCAAGCTCGATTAATCAATTACCTCACTAAATAAACGAAGTCAGACTCAAATAGATACACCATATTGAAGTGGTACCAGAAGAGATAGAAGTGTGGCTACCTTTTCAACCCTATTTACACCATTATTTAAATGTATGGTGCGCCCAGTCTTAAAGGTAATCAAAAATGACGGAAAGTCGATGGCTAATAACCTTTTGACGAAAAAAGTTAAAAGAAATCCGTACAATGGAGTACTAGCTATGAAGTTTAGTTCTATTATACAAATTTTTGATATCTATTCTAGTGTGAAGTTATTAGAGCTTGAAATCCGGCATTTTTGCATGTAAAAAGCGCCAAGACTGAGCAAAGAAGGACAGTACAGTATTATACCCATTTATACCCCCTCAAAAGTGAATTGCGGCAGGAATGCAGCAAAGTGGCTAGGAATAAGCCCTCTCATTGACTTTGGAGTTCACCTTGTAGCTATGATTGTTCCACTTCCAGATACCGCCGTGTCACCTTTAAGAGTGTGCGCACCATACCATTTCATTCTCCTGTTAGTCATAGGGTTGAGTTAAAGCACAGCCTGTGCTCATTACCTTGCCAAAGCTATGATTTGAAATGGTGTGGAAAGGGTTCAAAAGATAGCCACCAACTGTTCTACCAACATAGTAAGTAGCCTAGTATTCGGGTTCAGTTTGCATTTAGTATTTCTTAGACAGATAAGATAGGTATGTCAAATTCGCAACCTAGTGTCACTCCCAAATCGGAAACCTTTCTAACAAAGGCGAAGTCACTTAGCCACTGCTTCTACCTCCCGTATCAGGAAGGCGGGCAATCTGCATGTCTCACCGGTCCAAGGGATAAACGACTAATTATCCCTTAAGCTGTTGCTTAGATGCTTGGCAAAGTTGGCAGCTTTAACAGCATAAGGGATAAAAATTGTTCGCTTGGATGGCTCATATACTCTCTACTCTAATGTAGATTCAACAAAACCATACCTGCTGGCTCACGTTCCACGAATCGAGTAATAAAATATGATCCCAGCCAGCCACAACTCAAATCCATGGACGTTGAGAAGACACCAATTAAACTCGTCGCGTGGCCAGGGAAAGAGATAGAGGAGGTACTGCAACATGCCGTTTGTACCACCCCAACTGCAAAAAAAAAAAGAAAAAAAGAAATAAAGATGTGGGTACGCTTGGCATTTGTAAGAAAGAGACAGCAAGAAACCGAACATGTTGCTGTAGGTAAATCACATTCTGCAGTGCTCTATCAGAATATGGGAGAAATTATAAATGTACATGTAGTAGTTATGGACATGATTGTTCGTAACCCTTCTTTACCCTCCAATGCTCCCTAACAAGTGCGCTGCGCTGGGAAACAATCTTCTGGACATAACAGCGTAGAGTATTAAGCCAAGAAAAAGAACACATGCATATGTATCGCTCGGGCGGATTGCCTGGACCGTGCACCACTTAGTAAGGGAATTATCTTGCTTTTCCCAGTTGCTAACAGAAGGCTAGTGATAGCTGAAAGAGGGAAGTCGCGAATTTGACAAAAGTCATCCGCCCGAGCGATAGTTCCAAAGGCCTTGAGTTGTGGCATGATCATGCAGCCACAAACCGAAAAGGACACAGGATTCATACCTTAGAGATGTGTATGTGGAGAAAGGGGGGGGGAAGGGGGTGATATGACGTAGTCATTGAAATTCACAGATAGATACTAGCAATTGCAATAATGATACATGCTTGTAGCAAGCAGAGCAACTTCACATCAACGTTTCAATTAATCACATCAGGGTCTAAATATCATACATACAACAACCGCGAGTTGTATTTTGGATTATAGGTATCAATCAAGTGTTCAATAATTGTGAAAGGCCTTCAATGGGGGGGCCTTCGGTCCCTCCCCCTCCCACTTCTACCTCCTACTCTCTCCAATTCACACACTCTCTCTACTATGGGGGACCTTCGGCCCCGTTCAATCGTGAGTGCTCAGAATTTTTATGTCGTGCTTACTAAATCGCCCCTGTCCCTCACGACCAATCAGATTGAATGAGCGTACATCAGAGAGTAAAGATAATATAATACATATCAGAAGATGAAATACTGTATACAAAGTATGAAACAAGCCTCATATCCCACTAACCAGAACACCTCGCCTATGCACTCAGCTCTACTTTCCTACCTGTGGTTGAATTCGTAGGGAGCTCCATTCTCGGAGGGATTGGGAAGATTTCGAGGTTGTCATCTAGGCCTTATATATTTATGTTAGCACCCACGTATATGCACGAATATGCTCGCCCTAAACACCCAGAGAACTTACCTCTCTGAGAGTAATTCGGTTGGTTATAGTTCGCTACATCGTAACTGATGCGCTGTCTCCCCAGAGCCGCTTTTTGGAACCTTCCCAGTGCTATAGCACCGACGCATAATGCTGCTACATATAGAATGCTAGCCACCGTTAGATCTGTTCAAAAACTTTGACAATCAATACACTTACAGTGAGAACAAACTGAACACAAAGCTTGATATCAACATCCCACAAGTTGATTGACCGTCGGCGAATGGATCCGGACCGAGGGAGTAGTAATCATATTCGTTGCAAGACGCCTCGATTCCATAAACCATCGACAAGGCGCTGAGGATAACTGCGCCCGCCCAAAATAGAGTGTAGAAGGAAGACATTATGGTGACGTATATTGGGTTAAGCTTGTTATGGGGAATAACAATGATATCGACAACCAAGTGTATTACTGAAATGACACATGTGCATATGATGGAGATGCTATATATAAAGGGTTAAGTTAGAAAGGCTGTTGGAGTATATATAATGGATCGATTACTTGCCTAAAGGAGTCGAGATAGTAACTTGAAATACTGGTGTAGGCGCTGAGGACACCGATATTCACAATATTACAGATGAGGAGTAAAATACTAATTGGGAACATGTTGAGATTTTGCCAACGGACATCGCGACGGGTGTCGGGGAATCTCATGTTTGCTCGTATAGATGGTTAGTGAGGGGAGAAAGTTAACTTTACTTTCAGCTAGGCCCGGGTGACTACTCACTATTTGAACACCTACGACCTCCAGATCTGAAACCCCAATCAGCCCACGATTGGACCAGTTCACAATTCGAATAAGAGCTTGGTATTGACAGAGCCCCAACACCCAACCAAGCCTCCGATCTGATGTACGAGAACACGAACCTCTCAATTTACGACTGAAGGCGTGACCAACTACATGTAGCCACTTAAGATCCAACAAGGCTATGTGGTACATATTTCTTTTTGCGCATGAATTAAGTAGTCTAGATGTCGTTTCAACCGTTTAACGGGCCCTGGTCCTGGTCCTGGTAGATGCACATTTGGTCTGATCCGGTGGTTTTACAATAGCTAACGTTAGAGTAGGAAGAGGACCAGACTAAATTAAGGAAGTTGACATCTACACAGGTATCGATATCTTTTAGGACCACAGGAATACGGTGACATGCCATCGACTTATCCTTGGCAATGGGTTGAAGACAACCTAAAACCAGTCAGACCTATCAAAATCTCTGACGTCTGTCTCACTCGGCTATTATGCCAATAATTAAAACAGATTGAGATGATTGGCTTTTGCCTAGCTTTTGCCTAGCGGTTGCAATTCGTGAAGTATCAGCCACTATTTACATACATACGTGGAATATTGTAGCACAGCATGAAAGTCACATATCATATATCACAAACGGCCAATAGATTAAGAGTGTAGCACTCTACTCTACCTACCAATTCAAGGGATTTATTCCTAAAAAGAAAATATGGGGAGATAAAAATATGTACAATAACTCAACGTCATACTCCTATCGCGAATCACTCCTAGCCAAGATCTCACAAAATATGTCTTGGAGGGATTCGGGAGACCCCAAAGATAAGGCAATCCAGGTAGGTACATAGAACGATTCAGGAACGAAGACATATTCCATGAATACAGAAGGGCTCATAAGTGGTGATTGAAGATGCTCATTCCTGGATGTTGCGTAGGATATGATCAGTGGGCTCAAGTTACCTTGGTCGGGGACGAGTACAAAAAGCCATGCACCAATTGAATATAAGTAGGCCACGAGGAGATTTTATCGGAATGTCTCCACATCCCGCTGACTTGACGTACCCAGATCTGTCAAGGATTTGACGAGGAATGGAGGGATCTCACAAATATCCGAGAACGAGGGGCACGATGAGACCAAACGCCGAAAATTTTCTTTTTCAAGCTTAAAATTCTAGACAAGATCATCTAGGGCAGAAACCTCCGGGGTGGGGGATTGTTCGTCAGCCTTGTCTTCGGAGTCCGGCCGGAGGGGTATGTTTCGGACCTCACAGCATTGAGTCAATCCCCCGATGCAAGGCACAGATAAGCATTTGGCCGTGCCCGTATAACTGATAGGTAACAATGGCTGTGCATGTACACTGGTTAAGCATGCCACTATGAAACTCCCCTCCATCTCGGGTCCCCAGGTGCGGCTTTCTGATCTACCAGTACATACGGTCTTTAGAGCGCCTCCCCGCTGCTATGTCGGTTGTAATCGCGCTATGTGCGAGAGAACCAGGACGCCAGAGGAATATATACTAGTACATGTAGGTTGTTCTTGCGGTCCCGTTGAGTTGATATTAATCGTCGGTAATTTATGTTCAGAGTGTTTATAGGTGTTTATGTTCAGCGGGCTTAGAGGTTCCTACAAGTAGTTCAAGAGTTCAGCCATCAAGTATTGACAGCGCGAGAAATTCAGACCATGTCAATTTCGGCCCACATACCGAACGAATGAACTACATAATATTAATATACAGCCCACCCCACCTACCACACACCCCTCCACCCCGCCTCCCGAACTTCCCGACGCGACGTCTGTTTCCAACGAACTGCACTCGCTGAGCTGCTGCGATACGAACCTCAGCGAGACAAGACATATGTTTTCACACCGACAACTAGCTACGATGATCCGGATCCAGCCGGCGCAGCGCGCAAACCCAATCGGCAAGCTGGGCATTATGAAAAGCACCACTTCACCAAAAACCCCAGGCAGGGTGTGACCCACCGCCAACGCAACTGGAGCACTAATTATACTTCTGCACTTGCCCGTTGCGTTTCTGTTTCGATTTTCTTGGCCCGACTCGTTGCTCGTAAGGCCGGAGAGAAATGCACCTCGAGCTCCTGGGCTTCAATTGCTGGGTTACGGAGCCGTGGAATAAGGCCTGATTGATAGGTTTGATGCGCACTCGGGGAGAGGGGAGGAGGGGGGTGATGGGCTTAGTAGATCCCCGGTTCGCCGCCGATTCGACGCCGGATATCAAGCCTTACCTGGCCGGGGGTTTGTTCGCCGCCTATAGCGGGCGGCTATTATCGGGGGTTTGGTAGACAAACCGGGAGTTGTGTGGATGGCGCTCTTGTGAGCATAGGGAATTGTGGACCCGTTGGTCATGGGGTATCACTCGGCTGCTGAATATGGAGCAGGGATCTAGATATTATGACCAAGCGGGGTTTGGTGATCAATGCAACACACAACAAACTAAAGCACAATCTCGCTATAAGGATATGAAAATATAGCAATTTCACATCCATAAATATTCTTACAAGGGGTTATCTTTATAACAAATGCCCCGTCCACCCAAATTAATCCTTGTATAGCCCGAGATGCATATCCTTATAGGCCGGATAGTTATCCTTATCTAATAAGTATATAGATATACCGATATGCAATGTGTTATTTAAAGGTTTTGATTGGCCAAGTTTGAGGGGTTTTCTTTTTCTCTATCAAATATGTTTGTCAGTAAGTAGATATTCTATCAAATATGTTGGAGTTAGTAGATATTCTATCAAATATGTTTGAGTCAGCCAGTAGATATTGGTTCCAACATACCTTGAGTCAACCAAATAGTATATCAGATATGTGCACAGGGCATCTTGGGGTTTCAGTGATCTTAAGCGTTGGTAAACTGATATTGTTTAAGCCATAACAGTTCCTACTCCGGCCAAAGGCCGGAAAATGCTTGTAGACGATATCCTTATAACGAGATTAACTATATGAGACTCAATCCCGTCTTGAGATGGATTATTGAGTGTGTTGAACAGAGACCTGAGCTCCGCGGGTTGAGCAGGGAGGGGGGTTTAGCTATGCTTCCTGCGAGAATAAGCTTCCGACGGTGCACCATTTTTGGGTTTCGGCCCCGTTATCAAGAATTAGTAGAAACTTATTCAAGAATGAAGCCGATATGCCAGGTTACAGGATGTTTTTGACAAATTACTCGGCTTCACAGTCAAAAGGACTCTACTCTGGTTCTCCGAGCTGCTAGATGAACCCAAACCCTGAGTCAATTCTCTATGCTAAAAAAAACAGCACGAAAACAATAAACACAAAAATCAGACACTACTATTAACATACAAAAGAAAGCAGAAACCAATAACCAACTACGACTTGATGTACTTGTACGGGTTCATGATGCCCTTAGGATCAAACAAGTCCTTCAACGACTTCATGACCTTGAGCTCCGTCTCACCCCTCGAGTACCCCACAAACTCCCTCTTTGCCACCCCGAGCCCATGCTCCGCGCTGACACTGCCCCTCACCTTCTGGATCCACTCATACACGAATGGCTCCAGCACCTTCTCCACCCTCTTATCATACCCCCTCACCGCAACATTGAGATGCAAGTTCGAGTCCCCAATATGTCCATACCCCGTCACCGCAATGACCGGAAACTCACTCGGCGTCTCCGCCGCCGCCTTGTCCGTCTCCGACAGCAGTCCCTCCTCCACCATTCTCGCCCTCACATCACGGACCAGATCATACAGCCGCGGCAGCGGGATCGACACATCATACTTATACACGCCGCCCCAGTGCCCCAGCACCTCCGGGATCCCCTCGCGCCACCCCCACAGCGCCCTCGCCTGCGTCTCATCCTGCGCCAGCACGCCATCACTCACAACCCCCTCCTCCATCACATGCTCGAGGAACGCCTCGAGCTTCGCATCGTCGTGCTCCTTGTTGCTCCCGCTCGTCTCAATCAGCACATAATACGGCGTCTTCTCGCCCTCCAGCGGCCGCCGCTTCCCCGTCACCTCCGCCACCAGCTCCTGCGAGCGCCCGTCCATCATCTCGAACGCGCTCAGGATCTCCGACAGCTCCGTCTTGGCCATGGTAAACGCCTTCTGCACCGCCTCATACGAGTCCAGCGCGAAAAAGGCGACATTCGTTGCGGCTGGCCGCTGCGGGCACAGGATCGTCACGGTGGTGATGATCCCGAGCGTCCCCTCGCTGCCAATAAACAGCTGCTTCAGATCATACCCCGTGTTGTTCTTCCGCAGCGTACTCAGATCGTCCAGTATCGTCCCGTCCGGCAGCACCGCCTCCACGCCCAGCACACTCCCGTGCAGCGACCCATAGCGGAGCAGCCGCAGGCCACCCGCGTTCGTCGCAACGTTGCCGCCAATGTGGCAGGACCCCTTGGCGCCGAGGTCCAGCGGGAAGAGATGCTTGTGCTGCGCGAGGTACTGGTCGGCGACCTCGAGGATGACGCCGGCGTCGGCGGTGAGGACGCCCGAGACGGCGTCAAAGGAGCGGATCTTGTTGAGGGAGGACAGGTTGATGACGATCTCGTCGAAGATGGGGACGGAGCCGCCGACGAGGCCGGTGTTGCCGCCTTGCGGGACGACGGCGAGGGAGCGGGCGTGGCAGTGCGAGAGGATCTGCGAGACTTGTTGCGTGCTGGTGGGCTTGAGGACTAGGGTGGTCTGGCCGCGGTACTTGCGCATCCAGTCGGTGTTGAAGGGTTCGAGGTCGGAGGCGGTGTGCCCGGTGGTGGGGGAGAGGACGGGGCAGATGCTTTGGAAGTGTTTTACGTCTTCGGGCGTGATGGCGGAGAATTTGGGGTTGCGCTGGATTTGGGGGTAGCTGGGGTGTGTCAATTGCTATCTCGGGGTAGCATAGTGGGGGAGGTGGGGGGGGAGACTTACGATTCGGCGGTGAGACGCACTTCTTTTCCTTTTGCGGAGCTCTTGGTAGCCGTCGCGGTGGTCGCGGGGCGCTCATGGGCCTCTGTGGTGGCGGCGCGGCGGGAGTGTGCGCAGAGGGTGGGCAGGGCGGCGGGCCGCGTGAAGCGTGGGCGGGCGACGGCGGTGGTGAGGCCGCGGCGGAGGATGCGGGTGGTGTTCATAGTGACTGTCTGCCGGGAGCAATTGAGGTCTCTGTATGTACGGTAATGAATGAGTGTGCTTTGGAGAGAGAGAGTGTGTCGTCCCTCGAACGTGCGTGCAGAGCTGTGGCGGGGGGGGGAGGGAGGGGCAGAGGTGAGAGGTGTGTTATATATCGTGAATTTCACACCCTGAAGATTTCTGCAGTGCTTTCGTCCCTGCACGAGGTGGGGCGGCGATCACGTAATGAGGGTCAGGGTTGGGGCAGTGGTGGTGGGGTCTGGAGCAGTGGAGATTGCCCGGATGGCTGTTTACAGACATCTCTTGGAGCTCTGCTCGCAATTCTCTCGATTCTTTGTATGTTCTCAAGTACAGCTGAGCTCTTTTGAGATGCAAATACATATATTTAAGCAGTATCCAGTTCCAGTTCCAGTTCCAGTTATCCTCATATCCGAGTCCTAGCACTGCTATCCAGATGACTAATCACCCCCCCCCCCCCAAACCCCCCGGGCACACCTGCAACAAAGGCCTTGTGGCGGGGCAGCAATTACCCCAACACAGCAGCCAACCAACAGCCAGCCAGCCAGCCCAGTCAGTCAGTCCAACGTCGAAGCTCTCCCCCCACCACAACCACAACCACAACCACAAACCATCATCTCCATCATCACCATCAACCCCCCTCCATCAACCCGAATTCCCCTCTTAGTAGCTGACTCACCGCAACCATGGGTTCCTACGATAGAGCTCTCAGCGGTAAGCAGCCTGACGATCATCCCCCCGCACCCCCGTCTCCCCCGAGCTCTAGCTAACTACTCTGCAGTCTTCAGGTACCACCCCCCCCCCCCCAAACCATCACCCCCAGCACCCCCACTACCCCCCCCCCCAATCACCTCATCCACAGATAGCCATACACAGCAGCACCACTAACCCCCCCCACCCCGCAGTCCCGACGGCCACGTCTTCCAAGTCGAATACGCCCTCGAAGCCGTCAAACGCGGCACCTGCGCCGTCGGCGTCAAGGGCGCCTCCATCGTGGTCCTCGGCTGCGAGAAGCGCTCCGCAATGAAGCTGCAGGACACCCGCATCACGCCCTCCAAGATCGGCCTCGTCGACAACCACGTGTGCCTCGCCTTTGCGGGACTCAACGCCGATGCCCGGATCCTCGTGGACCGGGCACGCCTGGAGGCTCAGAGCCATCGTCTCACGGTCGAGGATCCGGTCACCATCGAGTACATCACGAAGTATGTGGCGGGCGTGCAGCAGCGCTATACGCAGAGTGGGGGCGTGAGGCCGTTTGGTATTAGTACGCTTATTATTGGGTTTGATCCGAATGATAAGGTGCCGAGGCTGTATCAGACGGAGCCGAGTGGGATTTATAGTGCTTGGTAAGGGTTCTCTCTTTCTGGTTGTGGAGGGGGGAGGGGTGTTAATGTGTGGGTGTGTGTGGGGTTGTAGGAAGGCAAACGCAATCGGCCGCTCCTCAAAGACGGTGCGCGAGTTCCTGGAGCGCAACTATAAGGAAGACATGGACCGCGAGGAGACCATCAAGTTGACCGTCAAGTCGCTCCTCGAGGTTGTCCAGACGGGCGCCAAGAACATTGAGATTGCAATCATGGAGCCTGGGAAGGAGATGGAGGTATGCCTCCCCCCCACCCCCCTTGTCACTGTTCTGGGTGAATGCTGGCTAACAAGGGCATAGATGATGTCGGTCGAGGCCATCGAGACTTACGTCAAGGACATCGAGAAGGAGAAACAGGAGGAGGCGGCCCGGAAAAAGACCCGTGGCGGCGGAAGCGGCAGTGGACAGACTGGTGGTGCGTCGGCTTCGTCGTCATAGATAGTATACCAGCGGGGGTGAAAATACATGAGCTTTTTTTTTCTTCTTCTTGTTCCGGTAGTGGGATGAGTGGGCCGTTTAAAACAAGTATAAAAAAAAAGTAATGAATGCATCCGTTGTCATCGATTGTGGTATTATAATCATGAAAATCACTCTATCGCGGAAAAACGTAGTCTTAAAGAAGAAGAAACAAAAGTGAAACAAAGACGAAACGAAATAATGCGCCCCCCCCCCCCCCCCCATGAATTGATATCTACCCAAGCCGGCTCACCATATCGTCCTCCGTCAGGAACCCACGCTTGTCCTCGTCTTTTACACGGTCGTCCTTGACCATCCTGTTCCACGCCGCATCCATCCACAATTAGCATCTTAGCATCCCATCCCATCCATCTCCCCATCGCGCCCCACAAACCCCCCTAGTGGTCTGGTCTAGAGAGAGATTGCCCCGTACCTAGAGTTCTTCCGAATATCATCACCCTCGATCCGCAGCGCGGCCTGCGGCGTCTTGGCCTCAATCACGAAATGGTTATCGCAATGCGGGCAATACTCGTCGCTGTCCCCCCCCACCCCGCCCATTAGCCCCCCCCCCTTTTCATCCCTTCCCCCCGCTCCGCACCTCTTCACCCCCCCCCCCCCCCCAAGGGCCTTGCTTCTTCGAAGTGGACACTCACCTCTCGTCCCATATGCTCGTGTCCTTGCGGAAGCACTTCTTGCACTTCTTGCAGGCGAACACCATCTCGACGCGCTGCAGCAGGCGGTGCTCCTCGGCCTCGGCGTGGCACTCGGCGCAGTCGAACCATTTTTGGCAGCAGGGGGAGCGGATGGAGACTTGGGCGTTGAGGACGTGTTTGCTGGTGCTGTTAGCTTTGCGGTTTTGGGGGGGGGGGATTGGGGATTGGGGATTGGGGATGGGGAGGGGGGGGTTACCACATGGTGGGGTTTTGTTGTGGGGGGATTGTAGATGGAGGGTGAGGTGTATATGGTGGGAGTTGCGGAGTGGTGGGATGGAAGCTGGGAATATTTGTTGTAGGAGGTGGAAAGGGAGAGGTGGTGCCAAGAACGGGTGTTGCCACTGCAGCAGGGCTAGGGGTTGTGGTGGGGCTAGGCCGTGTTGGGAGGGGGTAATGATTGGTGGGTTGGCTTTTTGGGAGAGTGGTGGTAATGATTGATATTTACTTTATTCGGACCTGGCTGGATTAGAGAGGAGCGGGTAACTTGTATTTGCAGATTTGAATTTATGGCTTCGAGAGACGGGGTAGGGCAGATCTTCCCTTTTCCTTTGGCTGCCGGGAATACTTGTAGTTGGGGTTGAGCTACATAATAGAATGCGTAGTCGAGACGTCCGGTCCGCTGCGAATCTGCCCCAAGTTGTGACCGTTCCCCGGAAGCCGAGAATTCAACGTCTTGACAAGAGAGCTGTCTCTAAGCTGGAACGTCCCACTGCAGCCCACTCTCTCTACGTCTTCACCTACCACGAAAAAAATACAAAATACAAAACACAAAAAACCAAAAAAACAGCTGTGTTCACCAACCCAAAAATCCCCAAAACACCCTCCTTGGTTGGACAGTTCACCATGGTCCACCCCAGCACCAAGAGCGTCCCCCCAGCGCCCCCCTCCACCACCACCACCACCACCAAGTTCTGGCTCGCCCTCGGCCACCGCCTCCCCGCGCCCCACGGCTTCAAAGACCTCGTGCACACCATCCGCTGGTTCATGGAGCGCAAAGGCCTCACCGCCCTCCGACACCACGACACCGCGCTCACCTACACGGGCCAATTCCGCCACATCACCCCCCGCACCTACACCCGCATCATGACCAAGCACCTACCCGCCACCCCGCCCAGCCGCATCGACTACCACCGCCCCTCGCAGCTGCTCCTCGTCACGCTGCGCGGCGAGCTGCACACACGAATCATCCACGCCGCCTGCGAGGCCATCCCGCGGCTGCTGCGCGACCAGGGCTTCTATGACGACGGCGCTATCACGGCTATGCATAGCCTGGACGGTAAGACGCGCCATGGCGGCGACGGCGATATGCCGTTCTTGGACCCGGACTGCAGCGTCAAGGTGGACGGCATGAAGGCGCCGTTCGTGTATGTCGAGGTCGACAGCAGCGACGTGGACAACACGTTTTCGCGCCGCTGCGGGAGGCTGAAGGCGCACACTCTCCTCTTGGGGCGGAACGGCCTCCCGCGCCCGCGCTTCGTGGTCGTCGTCAACTTGGTAAGGAAGACGAGGGGCAAGGGGGATAAGGCGTCGCCGTATGAGGAGCGCTATCCGTATGTGAGTGTGCGGGTGGCGGTGCTGGCGACGAAGGAGAGGCCCGTCCCGGGGACGGATAGGGTGAAGATGGAGGTGGTGCCGGTGGTGAAGACGGTGGAGGTGTGGCCGAGGGTGCCGGGGACGGAGGAGGCGTGGCGGTTCACGTGGGAGGAGATGAGGGTGAATTGTTATCCGGGGAGGATGAGGGATAGGGTCTTTGTGGTGGATTGGCGGTGGCTGCATGAGTGTGTGGCGGCGTTTGAGCGCCATTCGGAGGCTTGTGGGTGTGCGGGGTGTAAATAGTTTGGTGGCAGGGACGGGGGGTAGGCAGAGGATGCTTTGGAGGGAATTTTACGGCATCTTGTGCGCTGGTGTACGCTCTGAGTAGCCACTCGTGTGAAGACTGCTCTTACTGTTTCCCCCGCACTCGGTGCTGTAGCATAGATATCCCAGATCAGATAGTGTCTTTCCTCGATCAACGAGTATCTGTATTCCACTGATCATCATGATATACTTCTTCTATTCTCTCTTGTGTAGTTACAGGGGTTGATTGCATCTAATCTTAATCTGTAAAAGCTACTGCCACGCTGTGTGTCTTATTAGGAGTATTAAGGTGCGACGGAGGAGTATCTCGTCGTTACTCTCTACTAGCAACTTATGCTGTCTCAGACTATAGTTGGAGGAGGGAAAACGGATCCAAGACAATCGAATCGTGGCACGATCCACAAGCCAAACAGCAAACAAGCGTAACAAACCACACAATGTGTCATCCTACGGCGAGATCGGTGTAACGAGATCAAACCGCCACTGCGGGGGTGGTGGTATTTTTCTTCTCTCTTTTTTGCGGTGTCACAAGCGACGAGTGATATCTCATGAAGGAGAAAGGATTCTTATGGCCGTGGGGTAATTTATTTTTGGAAGTTTTCATAGTTTTGTAGATAGTTTTTATATGTTTGTTTTGAGGTTTGCTAACATAAAGTCACTGGGTTTTGGAGACTATCTTCCCCCTTTCCGGTATCCTTAAATTCTACCATGGGGTGACATAGGTTTGTTGCTCTAGCTTCGCCAGAGCTTCTCAACGAACAGCCAATTGCAATGGTACCTCATGCTCAATCCTGTTTGGCTTTTTACTCACTCACTTACTTACCGTGTAGTGTAGCGCCGGCAAGTCCTCACGAGCTAGCTGCGCAGGCGACATCTGAACATGTGCCTGCTGCTAGCTTTTTTTTTTACAGCCTTGTGTTTAACCCTCTGTGCTCGCTCTAGGAGCACCCAATTTTCGCAATCGCTCTAGAAGGTCTTGTGAACAACTCGCAACCAGTAGACAGCGAGGGGGGGGGGGGGGGGAGGGCGCACAGAAAAGCACGGGACGTGATACAACGGCAACGGCGCTGCCGCCGGTGCATGTACCTTCCCGCCGGCGGGGGGGAACATTCGAGAGATCCAACGGTATCTTGAAGCGCTCCAGCCAGGCGTATGGCGGGGCGCCATCATGGGCAGCTAGGCTTGTGGTTCCGATTGGCTCTCATGTCAGCTGGAGTACCGTCGATGGGGGGGACGGGAGGGCAAAACATCATGGCAGGTGGTGCGGTGCGGTGCGGATCGATGTAGTGCATGCATGGGGCGTTGCTTGATTGAATCAACGGATGGTCACTGTTATCAGTCGTTATCGCGAGATCCGAGTGGTGGCTCTGGGTGGCGCGCGGGGGATATAAAGGACGCTTGATATGGCGCGTCTTCTGTCCTTTTTTTTCTTCTTCTTCTTCTTGCTCAGTAAGAAACAGAAGCTAGCTAGCTAGCTATAGAGCTTTGGCGATATACCAGAACACTTCTGGACCCAGCTACCCAACCCAACAAAACACAGCCTGTGGTGGAAGAAAACACATAAAACCTTCAATCGAATCTCTTGGAATGTGTGCGTGTTCATTGTGAGCTGGCCGTCCTGCAGATATTGTTATTCTTGGATTGAGCTTTGCTGACATATAGATCCTCGTGGAAGCACGTTATCATTAGTGTCGGGCATAGTCTGAAGAGTTCGGTGACGATAACAAAATGTCGCAAAGCTCAAATTATATCCGGGCCTGCCCCGGGTAGTTTGGCTTTAAGGTGGACTCCATCTCCATCGGCAGAGGTGGCCGTTCGACTTTAAAGCGGACTCCATCTCCATCGGCAGAGGCCACAACCAGTTCAACAGCCCACACTATCCTCCCCCGAGACTCAACTAACCTCGCCGTCCCCTCCTTACCACGGTCTTCCTCGCCGTTGTCATACACCGATGGACTTGATCACATGGTGGAACTCCGCGCACACCACGCCGCCTACGAACGACCTCAGCGCGTAGCCATACACTGTCTCATAAGCCCTTTAATTTACTGGGAATGGTCAAATGAACCAGAAAACGGGGACTGTGAAGGGGAGTTATTCGCCCCGGAGCCGAAGCCTGTACATGTCCACCCAAGCCCAAGCAGTTCTTCGATTGGGGGGTGATTGAGGCAGTCGGAAGACGGGGGCTGGGAAGGAGGCCCGTATGAGTTTCCTAAAGGTTCAGGCGAATTGGAAGACCTAGGGGAAACCGGAGAGGTTATGGTTTCTTATGGCATGTCTTCTGGTGTGGCCTCCAATTAACGCATCCTTCAATATCAACCTTCGTAACCGCCCCCGGCCGCTTTCTCGCCCGCTCGACTCCAGCCGCGAGGTCGTTCTCTCGGCAGCTACTTTCACTCATACACACCTTCTATCACGTAGCCATATGCCCAACCAACGTGACAATCGAATATAGCGGTGCCTTATCCAGTTGCCACTCAAGATGATGTGAAGACACAATTCAGCTATGAATACTGCTGCGAAATGTATTCAGATGAGTTTGGAAAATTCGTTGCGTTTGGTATTACATGACATCGACCGGTTCATTCGCCGCGGAATATGGATGAGATGTGTGGTCGTCGTGGTCAGGGAGTTTGGAAATGTGCAAGGGTGGAGGGCTGGGTTATCCATTGGGGGGGGGGGGGGCGTTGATAGTGTACAATGCGCATCCAAGCCCACCACCGTATATGCCTACAGTTGCAATTGCGCAAGCTGTATATATATGGAACTCAACAATGACGGCACTACCACCATTGCAGTACTGGACTGTGATCCCGCTGAGGGTTCCCCTGTAGATGGATAATATTTTTCTAATGTCTCTGTCGAGCCAGGATCCTCAACCGGCACGGAGCGCCAATATGCACAGTCCGTGAACTCACACCCTACTTATCCTGGTGGCGGAGGAGGAGAAGTTCTGATACATGAATTCTATCCCGAACAAACACGACTACTGGCTGTTATAGACTGGAGCTGCCCGCTGTGGGGGCACACTCTCTATTTGCAAGTTTCATGTAACTCATTCTTCCCATCCACATCCGACACCGAGCCTATCGATGAAGGTAATTAGTGTCAATTAGGAGCTGCATTATGCGCCTCAAATGGGGGTTCGACAGAGGCCTAAGAGGACATGATGAACGAATCAATCAATCACTCAACCTCTGACATCACGGAACACATACGATGCTAAGCAGGGTGGCTTCTTCTAGCTAACCTACTCAGGGCCCAGGCTTCCAAGGCATATGCCATGCCTGCCTCCGTCCCAAACGCCACACAGCCACCGCACCGGCAGAAAGGGCTGCCGCTGGTCACAGGTCGGAGCTAAGACGAGTAATCCATCAGTTGATATATCTGGCCATCATACACCAATGTCCTAGCCTGTTCATTAACTTCCACTTCCCATAGTTGGGGATAGACTGCGTGCGCAGTGCTTGCTTGTCCCTCCCAGTATACCGAGTTGCCAGAAAATGCAACAGATGAGTCAACAGCAATGAAGAATTCTTCTGCTGTACCAGAATCGCCACATCCCATCAATGCATATGTGTCCCCGCCCACCCCTACACGTGTAGATAGTGAGACACCACTCTATCAGCGGACCATATCGCCGGGTGGTGTGGAGTACCAAAGAGAGCGAACCCCCTCACCCTCCGCACCCCCGAAGTATGGGGTTGGTGTGCCCGCCGCTGGTAACCGCAGCAAGGGATGAACAGTCACGGCTGATCGATCCACCTCTTCATCCTTCTCCTCAACGCCGCATCACCGGCACGCCTCTCGCACCTTGCAATTGCTGCTCTTTAAGAAGAGCTTTGAGCCTCGTATCTCGGCTCAGAGGACACGGTATGGGTATGAAGCCCGCCAGTATCTCGACCCCACACGCATGGAGGTTAAGATACAGATATAGATCTCCCCGTCGTCATGTTCGCCGGAGTCGGGAGTCCGCCGCCGACTGAGGGCTGTGCCGCAGTTGGAGGAAACAGATACTACAGATCCCACATCCTCAAGAAGTTCGATCCCAAGACAGCCTTGGTCTTTATAGATGTGTGCACGAATGAAAAACTATTGTTAGAAGTGTCCATATCCATTTCTCTGACAATTGCGCCTCTGGAAGCCGCCGGCCGAAGCGTTACATTTCACCGAGGAATGCTTCACGGGCTAACAGTTCATCTTCCCGGCGTATCGGGCTTCCCGGTACCCACATCTGGCAGCATGTTCTGCGGCCAGAAGTTTCCGCCTATCATCACCGCCCGGGGATGGATTGGGCCCAAGACACGCTGAGTGTTCACGCAAGCTCCCTACGCGCCAACTAATAGCGTGGCACCCAATAGAACCCCCTCCTCCCTCTAGTCAGTATGTCCAAGAGGGAGACAACCATGGAGAGGAAGTTGCTACTACCGATGGTGTGCGCTTGGTTAGTAGCTAGATTGACAGCTTGTCGCGCTTCTCGGTTGCTAGCAAGTCAAGGGGAATGAAAAGATGTTCCCTTGGCTTGATACCTGCTGGGAGGCGCGGCTTGTGTTGGTCTGCGGCGGTGTAGTGGGTGGGGGTGTGTGTATGTTGTGCATGTGGTTGGCCCTGGTGTGTTGCGGTCGTTCTGTCTTGTTGGCGGGATGTTTAGGACGTTGAAGAGAGGAGGGACGATGTTGCGGAAGTGTAATAAGAACCTATTTTTGCCTGCAGTAGTGTATCAGATGCGCTTTGAGTTTCATGTGGTGATATGTAGAGTCCGCTCTCAAGTCCAAGAAGTATATTAACCAGGAGCGTTCACTCATCAAGTTCTGTGAATAGAACCCATCATAGAGCATAGAAACCGCATTGAGCGTACTGCGCAGCCCCTTTACGACCGAGTGACACGCCGAGTGATAGTTCATGAACCACCCGCGCGGTCTTCGTACAGATATAAAACAAACAGGACTTCCTCTTCTTTCTCTAAAAGGTATCTTCGTAGACATTTTCCGTTTCAAGTTCAAATAATATAGCAAGCTGCCACTCACTGTATATCAATTCCCCCTCCCAAGCCCCTACAAAAAAAGAACAAAAAGTAGCATTGATGGTCGCCGCCATATCTACTACTCCCACCCCCGGGTTGAACCCTGGACCTCCTGTAGTCGAAGGCAAGGCACAACCTCACGGTGTTCCGGAAGGCGAGTGGCTAACCGGTAGACCACTCGCCCATGTGTGTTCGTGGTAGGAAATGATATTTGGACCTTATCGCTTTATCAGTGCCAAGCTAGATAAGATCTCTGCGATAAGCGTGCATCTCCTAGTTCCCACTCCCACGCCACACACTGGCACACACCGTCACGCTAAACAGCCCACCCCTGCACGTGCTTGCGTAAAAAAATGCTTCCCATCCCGCACGCACCACCGGCGAGTGACAGCCCGAGGAGGAAACAACGTCGCTCACCCACACACAGTACTCTCACGACTCCCGGCGGGAAAGGGAAGAAGGAAAAGGACCCCCAACTACAATTCGAACTCGGGAATTGCTTCACAAACAGACATAAAGATGCTGTCTTCAAAGGCGATCATGAGGATGCGGAACATGCCGCAATTGCAGGCTCTGGCGGGTGTGAGGATAGCTTCACGACAGGTATGTGGAGGGGGTAGAAATCTGGGAATACCGTAGAGGTATTTTTATGCTGAAGCCCCATGGCGCGCGACAGTTTTCCTCCGTGAGAATACCCCATCGGCCTCAATTCGCTCCCACCACCCGGAACACCAGCCTCGCCGCCCTCCGCTTCAGCTCCACGCTCCCCACACCCACGACCACATTCCCCTCGCCCACCAACACCCTGCCCACGCCCACCGCCGTCGCCGGCGCGGAACAGGCCGGCACAATCCCCGCGCACACCTCCACGCTGCCCGACTACATCCCGACCGCCGAGTCGCTGACGCCCAACCTCACCGCCCCGGAGCACATCGGCTACCTGCAGTCGCTGGGCCTCGACTACGGCTGGGGCCCCACAACGTGCATCCAATACCTGCTCGAGCACATCCACGTGTGGAGCGACACGCCGTGGTGGGCCTCCATCATGCTCACCGTGGCCTTCATCCGTGTCGCGCAGTTCCCATTCTACCTGCGCATGTCCGATACCACCGCGCGCATGAAGGAGCTCAACCCGCAGGTCGTCGCCCTGACGAAGAAGATGCGCGAGGCCCAGGCCCGCGGCGACACGGTGGCCATGGTCATGGGGCGCCAGAAGGTCAGCGCCCTGTACAAGGCCGCGGGCGTCAACAGGCTCTGGATCGGGTTCCCGATCACGCAGCTGCCGCTCTTTTACGGCTTCTATAAGAACCTGTATGGCATGGCGGAGCTCAAGGTGCCGGGCTTGGTCGAGGGCGGCAAGTGGTGGTTCCATGACCTGACGGTCTGCGACCCGTACTACATCCTCCCGCTTGTGTCGTCCTTGTCCATGGGGCTGCAGATATACTTGGGCGGTGATGCCGGCGCGTCGATGCAGACGAGGCGAATGAAGCAGGGGATGGTCCTCATCCTGCCGCTGTTCTCGTTCCTGTTTGTGAATAGCTGGCCGGCGGCGCTGACGCTGTACTTCTTCACCAACTCGGTCCTTGGGCTGGCGCAGGCGTTGGCGCTGCGGAATGTGTGGTTGAGGGAGAAGTTGGGGCTGTATCCGTTGAATCCGACTACGCCGAATCCGCTTGCGCAGGGCCCGAAGGAGGGGCTGAATGCGCTGAATATTGCGACGAAGCCGGGGAAGGTGATTGATGTTGTTGGCACGGTGCCGGCGCAGAAGGAGAAGAAGCAGATTGGAGGCAAGGGAGGGTTTTTAGACAAGATCACGGGAGGAAGCGTGAGGAAGGATGGCAAGAAGAAGACCATCACGGACTACATCCTTGGTGAAAAGGTCAAGGGTGAGGAGGGAGGCATCGGCCAGATGCTGAATGATGTGAGTTAACTGTCCCCCTTTTCTATTCTTCAAGACGGAGAGAAACTGACTAGAAAAACAGAACAGCGAAATGAGCATACATAAAAAGTATGAGGAAAAGAGGGAGCGGCAGATAAAGAAGGAGCTGGCCGCTCAAGAGGAGAAGAGAAGGAAGATCCTGAAGCTGTAAGCGGGGATGAAAACCAATGTAAAAAGTGACTGTGTTGGGACTGTATAGATATAGGAAGTAGGTTTTAAATAAACTTGGCGCTAGCTACTTTTCTGCTCTTCACGGGTGCTCACTCCTATCCTAAAATATTAGTGATTACCTCGGAACCCAATCTCCTAGTGTAGTGGGGTTGTAGTAAAGTACCTGATCAGACACAAGGCCTGGAGGACCCCCGAACCTTCAAGTTTACTCCAGTAGAAGGATCTCTCAGCACAAGGGTTGAAACTCCCAATAGCATCAGTCTTAAGCAATCAGGGATGGTTTTTTCAGAGCCTTAGCAGATCTAGAAAGCAATATGAGATTCGTTCCCCTGACAGGTGCAGAATTTGACCCCTGAACCTCCTGGCGTGTTCTTAACCATCCATGGAATTCCAGAACCACGCCAACTCCGTTGGATGTAGGACTGCACGTGATCAATTCACGAAATATCACTCGAAGGTCATACCTACTGCCTTTGAAGAACAGAGCCATGTCCTCTGTGGAGGTAAAGGTAGAGAGATGGGCGTTAGAGACTTTGATGACTACAAGTAGGTTCTTAGTATCATTTATACAGTTTGTGGCTCGAGGACCGTACGTAGTTTGTGAGCTGGCCACGCTAGAAAAGACTACACTTGCCACGAGTAAGCAGTGAGGCGTTTTGATCGTTCTCCGTAGAGGAATGAGGATGGCACATGTAGAAGGGACTTACACTTCAAACCTCCCGTGCGTGATAAAACAATAGAAAAGGTCCAAAACGACATAATTTTCGGTAGACGTACGTGCTCTACAATAGCACATGACCGATGCAAGATGACACCAGCAGTTCGCCATGATACAAAATGAAGCAATGAAGCGTTAGGGTTCTGCTTCATCTTAGCGCACCGCCAAGGTAGCTCAAAGATCACCTCCAGCGCAGCATCCACCGTAGGCGGGCGGTCTAGTAGTTAGACTGCTCGCCCAGCGAAAACACCGTGTTTACCCAGGGTATTGCGACGTCCTTTGTTCAAACGAGAGGTGGGGGTAGTAACGCCAATTCAGTAAGTCGTTGCAGTACCTTTTTTTCTTCTTCTTCTTCCGTGGTGAAATAAATTAGGAGGCATTTTGATTTTTGATTTCTCTTAGGAGGAAGGGGTAAGAGTGGTAGTGTTGGAAATCGACTCCTTTATAATTATTAATGGCTTTCAACTTTTTGCACCATGTGTTATTTCACAGCACGCATACCGAAAACTGTGTCATTTTAAACCTTTTCCATAAAAACAGAGATGATCTGGCTCGAGAAAACGGCCAGAACGTAAGACTTGCTACACACACAGCGAGGCTTTGCAGCACTACAGAATTGGTCAAGGCGTCCACTAGTGATCATATTATCAAGATCTTTTTTTTCTTCTTTTTCTTCTTTTTTTTTGCAGCTGGGGGTGGAAGATGGGTTCCGTATTTGAAATTGGGGAGCATACAGTATTGATGAAATCTTGCTCGCCGGTAGTAATGATGGCGGTCGGGAGCCCGGGAGGCAACGGTGTAAAATACATGTAGTTGTCTTCGCCGGGCTCTGTTTTAGAGGAGGACTCTATTCAGGTGGAAAGATGGAACCGACCCAGATAGATTTTTGTCTCTCATTAATTCTGAAACTCCGCTCTAGCTCCGCCAAACGAACCTAGAACGCTGACGGTAACAGAAGACGAGTCGACCTTGAAGTAGTTCATGAGGCCTATAACATGACGGAGCCAGACGAAAATAACAATGTCAAATACCAATTATCTTGTTCGATGGAACGGCTATAACATGACTCTCAACTAGTCAGGTTCAGAATATACAATGTAGATGAAACAGCCAAGCCGCTGAGATCGTAGAATATGCGAAATCCATAATAAGTGCTTTCCTCCAAGTATGGACTATATATGGCGGCGGCTTGTGGCTCGTTCTATGGAGTTATGTTTCTCGAGAGATCTGCTTTATGGGAGTATTAGCTTACCTCAATATTCTACAGTTTAAAGCCAATAGAATCACTGGCTACACATTATCCGTTTTCTTGTTCATAAGAGAACTGATGCGAGTGAATCTCTGTCCTAGAATCATAAGTGATCACGCAGTGATCCAAATCTGGAAGGCTACCGAGCAGGGATTAGGATAAGCGCGATAATGCATGCCAGCCAGTTAAGCGCATTCTTAACGCGTCCACCCCGTGTCCTTTGTTTATCCCCCTCTTTATCCAAACTTTCGCCTTGTTATTCACCCTCATTTCGTTTTTCTGGTGTATCGATTATGGCCTCACTAGATTCATCTTCGCCGATAGCTTCGCTAATTTCGTCTTTGCTTCCAGTGTCGATTTCTCTGACGCTACACCATCTTTCAACACCCCCCACAAAAACTTCATCCCTCTTCTCACCACCTCCGGGTCAGAAAGCCCCCACTACTACACTCGAAACCCACTTCCTGTCTATTTCACACGATGGTATCCTTGTATTCGCAACTGAGGTGCTGATATACACCATCGCAAAAACGAGCAGCAGGACATTCTTCGTCAGTAAGGCCGACAGCAGTGGATACCTCTCTCCCGAGCTAGCATCCTTCACGACCTCTACCAGCGAGCGCAAATCAACACTGCGCACCATAGCAACGGCATTCGTTAGGCATCTTTTCAACTCCTTCCGAGAAGCTGACCCCACAATCACTGCAACCATCTCCCTCTTCGCACGCTCCCAAACACAGTACCTTTTCCCGAACTCGGCTGTGAATGAGAAGAAACATGTTCTCACAGACAGAGGACTGATAGCCTGGTGGTGTAAAGTCCTCGACCCTATCCTACAGGAACATGCCTCCACCAGTGCAGGCGGTGCAAAAGGGTATCTCATAGTCCCTGGTTTTGACCGTCTTGAAGTTCGCCCGCTGCTACCGCCTGTGCTTTCGGCGGGGCAGGAGCAGTGGGTAAATGGCCATCCATACAAGCTCGATGCAGAAGCAGATATCACGGTACGCGAGGTGATTCCGCATTTCCCAGATGACCCGAAAGCTAGGTTTTTGGATGAACTTGGGAGCGACGAAACAAGAGATAAAGCGAAAAGAGGCCAGGGCTGGAAGAATGTGCGCACGATCGAGCAGTTCTGGGAACTGATGAGCTTTCGACAGGAGTGCAGCCTTGGGAGGTGTGTAGGGTTCTTGTGGGTTGTTTTGGACGGAGAAGGGAAGGCAAAAGTTGAAAGAAGGATTAAGCCTCTTAGAAAAGCATCGTCTTCATCTTCATCTTCATCAAAGCCGATCTTGAAGTCCGAAGGGTCTGAACTACCGCCCGCTGCGATAGCCGAAGAGTCTGGGAAGGAGCCTAAAAAATCTATTACTCCCCCACTTGATACCCCAGGGGCAATGAAACCAGAATTGCAGCCCATTATCACTACCGTCGGTACAGATTCAGTACCAACCCCTGAATTCACCTCACCAGGGCCCTTAACACCTGCAGTCTTCTCCCCAACTCTTTCTCCCACGTCTCCTACATCACCCCGTAAGTCCAACAAACGCCCGTCCACTTCCAGTGCCGTCCCTCTATCCCCAACTAAGAAGCTCCGTACTACAAACCCAATTCTTCAACCTACTATTAGTATCACCGCACCAGTGAAGCCATTGATTCTCTTGGACGAGAAACAATACACTCGTGTCATCGACAGTCTCTTAAACCATGCCGACTTTGGTGATAAAGAGAAGGCCCGCAGATCCAGCGTCAAATGGCTTGAAGGCGCAGCAATAGCCGCTGGTAAGGAAGGTGCTGAGAAAGAAGCATGGGGGGTAGACTTAAAAGGTCTCCTCGAAGTTCAGAGTTCAAATAAGGATACGTCGACTGTTCTGGGGGCTCCGGGGGCCGTTAATGTGCTCAGTGTACGTAAGAAGCCAAAACCTACAGAACCCGTTGTCAATACGCTTCCGACATCTCTTATTCGCAAGAAGTCTACGGGGACGGTTCTGGCCACGGAAGTTGCAAAGACAACTGCCGAAGTAGAAAAAGAGGTGGATGGACAGGGTAGATCTGTGAACGTACTAGGTGCGGGGCTGATGCGCAAGAAAGCGAAGCCTGCTGCAGCGGAGGAAGTCAAAGCTGATGGAGATCCAAAGGCTGCGGGTGAAACGGAGAGGTTGAAAAAAACTGAAGAGGCTGAAGCGGAAGTTGACAAAGGTGGAAGAAAGGTGAATATTCTTGGAAAAAAGTTTATGAGGAAGAAAAAAAAGGCTGTGGAAGAAACCGGAGAAAAAGAGGCCCATGATTGAACGACTTTCTTTTATAATCGTTTTGATTTTGTTTTGCGCCTGATTTTAGTATGTAGCTGTTGGTTGGAGTTTCGGGAAGCAAAAATAAAATTGGGATTTGAGGGGATCGGACACTGCATGGATCTGATCTTTGGGGTTAAATAAAACAAGTTAATCTATTTTACGGTTTCAGAACTAGTGTAGAGAGTGGTATTACGTGTAGATTCCCTTCGTTGGCCCTCAATTGCGAATAACTAATATTCTCAACCTTAATCTTATATTGCGAGATCTAGAGTCTAACTCGGGACTATTGACGATTGGCCTTTAGCTGCTATTACATCTGCTGATTAATAGAGGCAAGGACGGGGATATGGTAGAATATTATTTTGTCAATATCCTGTCGAGGTACGTAAATGAGAATCAGTAGCACGGTTTGACACTTTGGAATTAAGCATTTTGTGTGGTTGCTAGGTCAATGTTTGTTTAACAGTTTAAAAAAGGATGTACAACTAAATACCGAGTGATACCTTGTGATTCAAAAACATTGCGTGATCCTTCATGATCCAGAAGGCTGCGTAAGCCTTTGTGATTCTAGATGCCGAGCGAGCCCTTAACTTGAGTTATAACAGACTGTGCTTTTGAGTAATCTGACTCAAAACGGTAAATACGAGGTTATCTGTATTATACGCACCGCTTAAGTCCGTTTGTCGCGACTCTTGACTGTCAATGATCTGTCAATGATCTGTGTACATGTGTAACAACTATCATTACCGCCATAACTAGGAGTACACAAAACATATTTCGCCCCACAGTTTCAACCCACGCATATATTTTCCAAGAGTCTTACTTACAATCTATACACCTTTTCTCTAGAATACTTCATGAATGACCAATTGATACTGTTGCCACTCGCTAAAACCGTTCGTGAGATAACTGGACTAGAGCATAGAGATTCCGCTCGAGAAGAGATTATAACCCAATCGAAAGTGACCAATATGATCGACGGATCAAAAGGTAAAAAGCAAGAAAAATAGATAAGATTTTACGTGATAAATCATGCCCTAGAGGGACAGTTTACCATATTGGGTATTGCCCAGGTAGCACTGCTCCCGCCCTAATGTTGAGTCTTCTACCTTTCCGTCTCCGGGGCAAGTCAAGGTCTATTAAGGTTATGACCTTATGTCCTCACGGGTATTTGCCTGCTGGGCATTGGGACATATAATTCCCCCACTCATTGATATTATCAGTCCTGGGTTCACGTGCTGACCTAAAAATCACTATTTAAGCTCTTCTTCCCCACCAACGCCTCTCAACTGCTTCTTCGTCCACCAGAGATCCAGAGACCATCAGGAATCATCCCTCAATTTTCATCAATTTGATAAAGTTCCTTCACAGGATATAGAAAATCCCTCCATATATTCCTACACTGGGCTATATTCCATCATCGAACCCTCTCTCCTATCCCTTTAGACCCCACAACTATACTCACATCTCTATTTCCATCTTCACGATCACATTTCCCCCTCCCGCTATCTCCTACATTACCACAATCTGATCTACTTCCTTCATCATCACGCCTCCTCCTAGCCCTCATTATCTACTACATTTCAATTATTTCCAAAGAATCTCTTTCACTACCAGACCCGTAAGTTCTTCTCCAAAACTTATTCTCTTACCAAGTTCACTCTCCTAAAAAATACTTATCACATACTACTCTTCATTCCACTAAATCGTCAAAGAACAGAAAATATCATCATGCCGTATATACTCGCACCGACAGAGCGTCCTCTGAGCTCAGATCAACAGGTTATCGGTGGGAATAACCGCAAAAGGTTATGGTCATTCAACCTTGATAATCTTTTAGGAAGAAAAAGCCTTAAGCAATATATCAGATCCATCTATAGATACATTGCGTCCAGAATTGGATATGGTATCCCTCCAAGCAGAAGACTCCAAGTTTACATCGACAAAGTCGAAGAAAGGCCTAATGAAAAGGTGGAACTACTTATTCAGCTAGTAGAAGGAACAACAATGGTAGCGGAGAACCTCTTCCCGCTTCTTCAACCGCTACAGCACCTGAGGTTCAGGCATCACATACACGGCTTTCTGTCCACAAAAGATGAAACACAAATGTTCAAACTTTTGAATGCAGGCGACAAATTAGTCGAATCGATTTCCGAAGTCCATGAAAAGGTACTTGCGGAACTTATCGGCGGAGTAGACCTACGCCGCGACCAGGTTATGCGGATGAGACGGCTTTGGTTGGACGTTGAGTTAAGGGTGGAGGAATTCTTGACTGAGAAGTATCTGCTTCTCGCGAAATTTCAGGGAGTGACTATTATCTCTAGTCAAGTCTCTTTGGTGAAGATCTTTTTTTTTATTTTTTTAGCTTGCCTTGCCATCTCGTCCGGCTTTATCATCATTCACACGGCTGATAAAGTGGCTGTTGACGATGGCGAAACTGGGTCGTTTAACCGTTGAATTTTACATACCTCCGAGGTATGTATGCTGTTGGCAGATCGTTTTTACCAGTATATGCTTAAGCTTTGAATAGTGTCTTTCTTTTTTCAGCTACAGTTGCGATATAAATTAATGCTTCATAGTCATGAGACATGTATTCTTTTTTCGATTTTATTTACCTTTGCTATTTATGTTGATGGGAAACAGTTAGATACACGCTTTGCTGTCATGTTTCATTCAATTTTCTCATTCATGTTAATGTGTCATGGCCAGATATACAGAAGAGTATTTTTTCCTTTCTTAGTTCATTCACCTCTGCTATTTACATATATTAATGCGCTTTAGTAAGATTACACGCATGTACTTTCTTTCTTCTAGTACAGATCAGTCAGGTTTCAACTGTATAGATAGATGTTACTCTATCTTTCTAGCAACTTTATTGTCGTTGGGAAGAATTGAAAAAATTGCTCTCTTAATTTGTATTTAAGCCTAGCTAAATCTACCAGGAGAATTGAAGGTTCATTTCATGTGAGCGTTTCCTATAAGCTCTATACATCCAAAGAGCATAGTCTTTTCACCGCGTCACAGTCAACAAGCATGATCCCGGAACCTCTAAGCTCATATATGTCAGTCAACGGAAAATTTGGCACCAGGCTGGGAGGCCGGCATCAACACACATTAACCACTTTCACACTATTTTACTGAAACATGTCTAGTATAATGATGTACGATTGGTTTTCTGTTTTTATAGCGCCTTACACGCACCCGACATTTTCTGCTGACTGCCTGACACTATACTATCTTCACATGCTATCACTCGAATGTCTTGGCTTAATTCATTAGCGAAATTTTCGGTATCTCTAATCCTCCACCCGGCACCCTCGGTATTATATTTAGTCTAAAGAACTATGATAGAGGGCAGGGGGATAGTAGGCCTGGGGGTACAGGTTCTGGAAGATAGAGGTAGGCTTAAGCTTTGCAAAGGACCTCCTGGCTCTATGTAATCCGTGTGTCTACAAATTAAAAGAGGCCGTGTAAAAATTTAAAACTGGTTCATATTGAATATTTTATTGTCTACAGAAAGTCACATATATCTTCTGTTAAGAAGTTATCAAAAGGGGAAAAAACGTAGCCGGCTCCCGTACGTCCCCAAATATTGGAAGCGGAAACCAGAGATATGGCCATACTCCCAGTTCCAAGAAAAAGGGATGAGGCTGGGAGTCCAGGGGACTCGGGGGGGGTTCGCTGCGCTGCGGTAGGGACTTGCCCAGAAGTAGCACTATGGAGTTTTAAAGAGATTGGGGACCTGGGGGCTGCGAATTTATATATAGCAGATAGGAAACGCCAAGACGAGCTTATTCTGGCTGTTCTAATACCAGGATAAGCCAGTATACAATAACACTTTGGTCTTACATGTAGTGTATACGTTGTATCATATGCTCTAGAATCGCCTCGTCACTTTGTAGTTGTTTGGAGGGGAGTACATCTACCAGATAATTCGTTGGTTGTAGATTGAGTACAACAGTACTAGATACTTGTAGGCACGAAAGTTCAAGAGGGGATGGATGATCTTGCTCTGGTTCACTCATTAATTCGACTCTTCAAAAGCTGGAGGTAAAAAAAAGAGAAGTAAGTGGTTTTCCGTAGCGGGAATCGAAACCCGGCCTCGCTGTCGTACTTGTTTCCTTTCGAGGGCATACACCAACACATACGCCACTATGCTACGGAACCCGAAATAACTAAGTGCTGGAGGGGATGGTAAAGATAGCTTTCTCTCCAGGTGTCTTCCCCAAGATGTGAGGTGAATCCAGGACGAAATCTTTTTGCCCGCCCCCCCCCCCCCCTTCCCTCCAGTAAATACAACTATGATCTTTTTGAACCCATTATCCCTTCGTTTGTTCTCAGAACCCCTGCTTTTTCTTTTACTACCACCAAGTACATAATCTTATTTAAAAATAAGCCTTGAAATCCGAAATAATCTTTATTGGAGATAATCCTTAGTGGTTTGGATTTATTACTGGAGACTTAAAAGATAAATAGATATTATACTCTAAAAAAAACCCTTATTTAAGCCTTATTCTTTTTACCCTTTCCGACGGTAATGTAATAAGAGAGCGGCCACATGTCTCTGACTCCCAGCTCTTGCCCTATCAGTAGCAGTTTCTAGCCTACGGTTTCTATCCGAAGCTTTGGCACCGCGGTCGATTAGAGTAAGAGCTATCGCAGCATTCCCAACATACGCCGCAATATGTAGCGCTGTTTCTCCATCACCATTCTGCTTCGAAACCTCTGCACCACTTTCTAGTAGCAGGTTTAACATCGCCTCATAACCTCCTAAGGCAGCGCAGTGTAAAGGAGTTTCGCCGTCATGCTTCGCTGCGGACACCTGATAGTCCGCAAGATCTTTGAGGAGTGCTCGAGCAACCGACCCGTGCCCGGATGATGCGGCCCTGTGCAATGGCATCGTTCCATTCTTCGACAAGGCCAAACGATTGGCGCCGTTTTGAAGCAGAAAATCCACTATTATTCGATGCCCCCCGAATGCAGCTTTATGTAGTGCCGTTTCGCCGCTGTTCTTCGTGACTTCATCGACTTTAGCACCGCTTTCAATAAGTAATTTTACGACAGGATAGTGCCCAGCTGATGCTGCTCCATGAAGTGCAGTGTCTCCATCAGCATCGAAAGCAGAGAGAACAGCGCCCCGCTCAAGTAGTAGCTGAACTGTCGATTCATGCCCCGCAGATGCTGCCCGGTGCAGCGCTGTCACTCCGTATTTTGTCGTCACCGACACATCGGCACCGTTATCGAGAAGGAAGCGGACGAGAGATGTGTGCCCTCCATGTGCTGCTCTTTGCAGAACACTAACACCATATCTAGTTTGAACCCCAACATCCGCACCGTACTCGAGTAAGATCTTGACTACGCTCCTAAATCCTTCAGATGCTGCTTGATGGAGGGCAGTCTCTCCGCCATTCTTTACTGCCGATGCTCCTACATCGGCACCGTTTCGAAGCAGTAACCGCACTACCTGCTCATGTCCTCCTGATGCTGCGCTATGCAGCGCGGTCTCTCCGTATGTCTTTGTTGCTGAAATATTGGCTCCTCCTTTGAGCAACATTTCAACAACATCTTCATGGCCCCCAGATGCGGCTTGGTGGAGCGCAGTTTCTCGACTCTCTCCAGTGCTCAAGATGTTAGCGCCCCTATCTAGTAGGAGCTCAACTACTGAACTATGTCCTGACGAAGCTGCTCTATGTAATGCTGTCATTCCATCCCGGGCCTTTACAGCCGGATTCAAGCCCTTATCAAGGAGCAGTCGAACGACTTGCTCGTGCCCGCCTGCTGCTGCTCTATGTAGCGCTGTATCCCCATCATACCCAACATCTGAGATATCAGCGCCTTCCTCGAGTAGCAGCTTTACAGTTGCACTCCAGCCGCCGGACGCTGCTGTAAGTAACGCCTTTTCGCCATCTATAGTATCTGAGACCTTTATTCCTTTCTGGAGTAGTACCTTAACTATTGATGCATGGCCCGCATTGGTAGCACAGTGGATTGCACTTTTATCGCCGATATTAGAGTCTATAACCTTTATGTCCAGGTCTCCGGCACCACTTTCTAATAGCAATTTTACTAAGGAACAGTGCCCCAGAGCTGCGGCAACGTGCAAAGGCGTTCGTTTTATATATCGAGTGTGGTGCCCTAAGGTTTTTGAAAACAGCTTTTGGGCCTTTAGAGCCTGTAAGTACGATGAGAGGCTTCCTGGATGCATTAAGAGTTTGAAGAGAGCATCTCTTGTCAGATCTTCGTCGCATGACTGGAGGTGAAAGCCCAAGTTTTTGGCTGCGTAGTCCATAAAAGGATACAATTGGCGCCGAACTCCAAGCGACATCTCACGCCCGCAGGCGCCTCGAGAAAACTCATTGAATGAGAGAAATGTTATGCACGACATTGCAATATTCTCATCTGCGTTTTGGGGAACAACGGCATTCGTCACAAGATATTCCTGCACTGACTGGTGTGATAGCCTAACGGTGTCACCATCGATTACTACCAGGCCGGCACAGGCGGCGATAATGGTTCCATTATCTGGCATGTCGGATCCATCTATTCCGCGGTCCCCTGGCTCCACCGATATAGCCTGTTTGAGCTCTTCAACGGTTAATGTTCGCTGGGCTTTGACTAGCCATGAAAGAGTTTTGATTGCTAATTTCACGCAGCTTTTTGGTTGGCTCTGAAGGGAGGTTAAAATCATGCTGTAGGTTTGAGATAGGATAGCTTTTCTGCTGTTGGTGTAGAGCTTGAGATTCTCAAGCTCTATGAAGACCTTTCGCAAAGTTGGTTGCTGGCAAAGGTATCCAATGTGCAGATCCACTAGCAAGAATCTGTGATCAAGTTTATCAGTAGGGTATTGCAGGGGGCATATATACTATGACCTACAATTTTTGAGAATATGTCTTGAGCACAGATACAATCACCTCTTTATATCGGCCTTTCCCAACTAAATTTCGAAATCGAAGGTTCTCATTGATCTTCTCCTCAATATAAAGATTGATATCCTCATCCCGTGCCAAGATGGTGATTTTCAACCCGCCATGAAACGCATCGAATATATCTCGATGTCCCAATGATAGCTCTACCCTACTACTGATAAACAGCTTAAAGCTCCCGCTCTGTGCCATCCGGCGGATCAGCGGTATGAGTTCCTTTTTTTGCAATACCGCATCGCATTCATCCAATGCGTCGAAGATCACGTAAGCATGGTCAAACGACTCGACAATAGTGAGTAGCAGGGTGAACAGTTGCATAACCGTAGGTCTCCTTTTGTCAGACTTTAGCTTGTCGTAGAGATCTGCAACCTCGATGGGGAGCTTTGGTAGTTGGTCACAGAACTGCTTGATCAGGCTTGTGAAGACTTGAGTGGTTTTTTGCTGGGCTTGGTCTTTATAGTTGAAATAGATATATGCCACCCCGAGGCATCCTTGTGCTGCGTGGTCCTTGATAGTGTCGATTATGAGGGAGCTAGATTCATTTGTTGTTAATTAATTGCATGACCGGGATACTAGCATCATAAGGAGTACCTCAAGAAGGTCTTTCCAGCACCAGCTATGCCCAAAGTCAACATAAATAACAAAAACAAGGAATGGACACACCCACCAACACTGCGACCCCAAAGTAAACTAACTCCCGCATAATTAATCCATCTTTGAACTTCGTAAGCTTTGAAAAACCACTTCCCAATACTATCGTTCCTTCGGCCCCGGATTTCTAGATGTCGTTTATCATAAGCTTCTGGATATAGCCAATTGAGCACCTTTTCACGTTTTTCTCGAGCTGCCCAAAGAGTTAGCCAAAGAGAACACTCTTGTAGTTTCAGCTTCATCCCTACCAAGTACTTCAAGCTCATAGTTCAAATCGGTAGGCAACGGTCTCTTCTCGCACAACCTCTCCGCTATATGCGCACCGATGACTCCCGGCGACATTGACCTTACTCCGTAGTCAGTCTAAATACCCCCCAATCCAACCTCACCACACTCACAATTGATCCATCCCCGCCATCGCCGTCTCCCACAGCACCCTCAATTTTCCAATCCTTCTTCTATACTCCGTGACCTCATTGCCTCCCCACCTTCTCCTCCTCCTCTCCCGCAACTTCTCCCTCAGCCACATCATTTCCCTTACACATTCCCCAACGGCACACCCAAACTGCGCCGCCCCAACCTCCCGTAGATTCACCGCGCCCAGCACCACCAGGACACCACCGAGATCATCGACGAGGCGCTGAAAGCCCGCGGGGATTCGTAGTGTGGTGCTGAGGTGCTCGTAGCATAGTGAGGAGACAGAGTTCGTGAGGTGGATACAGGTGGTTAGCTGTTCATTTGTAGTTTTTCGGCGGGAGTCAGGCATGACGGGCAGGTTAGTCCTATTGCTAGCGGATGGGGAGAAGGTGCTCCTTATATCTAGGCGCTGAGAATGAGCAATCAGAAGCTGTCATGTTTTGAGGCTCAAGCGCTGTGTAACGAGCGTATCGATTCGTATCGTGGGCCCCCCAATGGTAGGCCGGTTATAAATAGTAAATCGTCATCAGGCTGCATGGGCAAAGAGAGACGGCATGCAGTGTTCTGCGGCCGTGTCGATATAGGGCTGTAGTATCCAGACGAATCGTTTCACTGTACGGTACCCTGGTCCCAATAAGTGATGCAACGACTGTATTTCTCAGCAATTAATTGCACCTTGAGAGATCAAGAAGATCTGATCACTCTGATAGGCAAAGTCATGGGTACTTTCGTATTGCTCTCAAGATAAGCCTAACGTTGCATCACTTATGCCTATGGGGCCCCGGGTTAAATCGCCCTGAGGTTCTAGCTAAGGGTTAATTACATGTAGGCAGGCATCTGGGCTCGCTCTAAGTTGAACTGTGGTAACATTATCCCTAACCCTAGTCCCGAGTCAGACTTTGTGCGATTACTATACCTCCTGCCACGACTCGAGCGAGTGATTACCCATGAGAATGATCACGTGCCTACTACTAATTGATGTGAGTCGCAAGACCGTCCGTTTGCAGCCTGTTTGCTGTCAGTACTTGATTCGGTAGCAGGTTTTTATTATTATTAATATCTCTGGTTCCAGCGGTCCTGCATAAAAACCATCAGATCGGTGACACTTTCGATTCAATAGGCGGCGTCATGAGATCTTAAATTAAGTTTGGCAAGCCGCAAGCTAGATAACTGTTCCACTGTGCTTCTTACTTCGGTGGTCAATCTGTTGTTTTGCAGTCTTTGCTATCTGTTATTACATGTAGTACTGTGTCAAGACAGCGAGTTTGATTGTCTTGATGATACGTGTTTATTTACCACGTCTTTTTTTCACTATAAAAGGAGTTTGTTCCTTCTATTCTCGTTAATAATTAATTCAATCATAATTCGATTCTCCTCAGTCTCTCATAAAACCGCTATTCCCACTACAGTGTTAGTGATCTACACGGCACTAACCAGAGTTGATCCCTACCCTAATCAGCGCCGGGGTAACATCTCCATTTCGTGCCAATATACTCATGCAGGGACCTATCAGGCATCCTCACCCGACCGGCCAACCTCATGCTCCCCTCCATACATAGAAGCAAATTCGCCAATCAAAAAGCCTCAATCCCACGATCGTGATGGTTGAAACTTTCCCGTGGCCGCTGTCATCCGGTTCGACGGACAATGTGATAGGTATCCAGACAGCTTAACAGCATGTATTATATGCCAGACATTACGCAACAGGTGAATTGGCGTCTTCGAGACGTAGGAATGGGTTTTACTCTCCATACGGTCGGCAGCTGCAGCCTCACACTGTCTCAGAAAACGTGTCTTTTTTGTTTTTTCCCTCGGACATGTATCGTATTCTGTCTATGGTTCTCCGGGCGCCATGGCGCACAGATTCTTGCGGAACAGCTATATATATATGGGGGAGGAATGTTCTTTCCGTGTGCTCTTTAATTTGCGCCTGAAGATATCAACCAGCCATGATCCCATCACTCCCTCGATCGACTTCCTACTCCTCCTCCGACTCGGACTTCCTCAAGTACGACGGACTCCGCGCACACCTCAAGCTGCAGAACATCGATTTCGTCTCCGATAACGACATCCACGCCAAGAAAAAGAAGAAGTTTAAGAAGTACAAGCGGATCGTTATCTGCTGCGACGGTATGTGCGCGTGTGGGGTTTACCCTTGGTCAGATCACTGACGAAGCTACAGGAACATGGCAGCGGTCGGACGGTGTCGAGAAGGCGCCTCCATCGAATGTGACGCGGCTGTCGCGGGCCATAAAGTCATACTCGAAGCACGACAAGGTGCAGCAGATCGTGTACTACATGCGCGGGGTAGGCACGAGCGGGAAGCTCGATAAGGTTCTTGGTGGTGAGTTTCCCGCCTCAATTGCCGCAAACAAACAAAACTCGCGCCTGCCTGTGCTAATTGGTGAGTTGTAATATTATAGGCGGAACTGGTGTAGGACTCGACGACAATATCCGCACAGTGTACGGATTCCTCGCGCACAACTACCACAAGCACGATGAGATATTCCTGATCGGATTCTCGCGAGGCGCCTACACGGCGCGCTCCGTGTGTGGGCTGATCAGCGCTATCGGCGTGTTGACGAAGAAGGGGATGAACGATTTCTGGGAGGTGTGGAGGACGTATACACGCAACGAGTACACACCAGAGTAACAACCCCCGCCTACTACTACGCAGAGAAGAACCCAAATGCTAAATCGGCTTTCTTGTAATATTAGGAAGATCCAGCAGCTATGGGCTAAGGGCGAGAAGTATGTCATTCCGGTCAGGAAGGTGTGCATCAAAGCGATTGGGTGCTGGGATACCGTCGGAGCGCTCGGGGTCCCGTCGATAGAGATAAAGCTTCCCTTTGTGGGCAAGAAAAGGGTCACTACAGTAGACACGGGCCACAAACAGTATGAATTGCATCACAAATCCCCTATTTCGGGATCCTTATTAATTTTCACAGGATTGGATTCCACGATGTCGGACTCTCCGAAGTTGTTGAAAACGCCTTCCACGCCCTCGCCATTGACGAGCACCGGGGCCCCTTCACACCAACCATGTGGAAGAAACCCGTCGGCTCCAAAACAAACCTTAAGCAAGTCTGGTTCCCCGGCGTGCACACCAACATCGGCGGCGGCTACGAAAACCAAGAGATCGCCGACGTAACACTCGGCTGGATGATCCAGCAACTCAGTCCCTTCCTCGAATTCAGCAGAACCAACCTCATCGAGATCCTCCAGAACGACGTACACGACGAACTAACAGGGCTCAAGAACCCAATGCTTCAGTGGGCAGGCGGGAAGATCGAGAACTCGGCGGATAACCTGCTGATGTGGCTCATGAGCGGGGTGCATAGATCGCCGGGGGCGTATCTGGACGAGGAGGATGAGAAGCAGGGGATGCGCACGCATGAGAGCATGCACAGATCGGTCAGCATCAGGTATCGCATGGACCCGAGCTGGAGACCGGCCGCGCTCAGGGGATGGTCCTATGACGAGATAGAGGATCGCTGGGACCACTTAGATGGGAGGTCGTTGAAAGAGGATCCGTTGGAGGCGGCCGAAAGGTTTCTGGCGGGGAGGTGGGTAATGGAGAATATGTGCCATGAGAAGTGGTCGCCGACTTGGTCGAGGTGGCGTTGAGTACATGTAGCTATGGGGTTTTCTTATGTTGGTTTGGGAAAAGTAATAGTGTTAATTTTGGGGGGGGGGGGGGGGGGCTCTGGGAGGGATCCGGAGCTCTGGGATTTATTTTGATGTATATTTTCAGTCTTTTCTTGTTGGATCTACAGGCTTGATAGTGTCTGTAGGTTTGATAACTTGCTTCACGGTATTCGGAATAAGTAGCAAACTACATGTAGTTATGCACCAAGCCAGCCACTATTGCTTGTTTAAGGGTCCCCAAAGCGCCGTCCAATCACAAGTTCTAGAATATTCTCCCCACCCCAAACCGAACCAGAAGCCATGAAGCAGTGAGCACACCCGCTAGTCAACTAACACCCGCACATTTGCGCACGCCCCCACACGCCCGCCAAGCCCCCACTATCCCCTACCCGGTTAGCCAGCCGCTGTCTTCAATCCCAACCCTGACGATCAGGCCCCGAAAAAAAAGTTTTTAAAGCTAGCTTTGATCAAAATTCCCCTCCCCGCCCCGTGTCTGTTCTCCTCCCTCCCTGCATAGCACCATATTTTACCAATATAAATAGCCAGGGAGCTCCAGGGAGCTCCCTTTCTTCAATTCCTCCGTTTTGGTGTTAACGGCATGACGGACCATACGAGGGACCCTTGCCCCTGGGTTGTCCTCAACGACTTCGGGGGTGCGTTTGCTATGGGGGTGAGTGTTTTTCCTGACTTCGAGCTTCTCCTTAATCATTGAGGCCCAAAAACTAACAGATCGTAGGCGGTCGGCGGCGCACTCTGGCACGGTATCAAAGGCTTTCGCAATGCACCCTTGGTACAAACCCCCCCCTTCTTTCAAGCTGTATATACTTCGCGAGCTAGAGCTAGAGCTAACACAGTCTCCAGGGCGAGCGCCGCATCCACGCCCTCACTGCAATCAAAGCGCGCGCGCCCGTTCTCGGCGGCAACTTCGGCGTGTGGGGCGGCTTGTTCTCGACGTTTGATTGTGCCGTGAAGGGGGTGCGGCAGAAGGAGGACCCTTATAACGCCAGTAAGTTCTCTCCTTTCCGGTTTGTGTATTTTGGTGAGGTGAGGTGGGGAGGTGGGGTGCTGATTGTATGTGGTAGTTGTCGCGGGCTTCCTCACGGGCGGCGCGCTCGCGGTGCGCGGCGGCGTGAAGGCGGCGAGAAATGGCGCGGTGGGGTGTGCGTGTTTGTTGGCGGTCATTGAGGGCGTGGGGATTGGGATGAACCGCGTGGCGGGAAACAGCGGGCTGCAGAATCCAACGGTATGTTTTATGCCCCTTTCCTGGGTTGTTTGAGTGGGGTGGGGTGGGCGAGGGAGAGGGTGGTGAGGACGGTGCTGATGAGGTGTGGGTGTGTATAGGTGCTGTCAGAGAGCAGCATGGTTGGGGCTGTCAGAGAGCAGCATGGTTGGGGCTTTACCTGCATAAGTCCTGAGAACTTTACTTTCTGTTGAAAGCTTCCGCCCTCTCCTCTAGATCTCCTTTAGATCTCCTCTAGATCCCCTTTACATCTCCTCTAGATCCCCTTTACATCTCTAGATCCCCTCTAGATCTCCTCTAGATCTCCTCTAGATCTCCTCTAGATCTCCTCTAGATCTCCTTTTTCTTTACCCCCCCGGATTGGTTATTTTTGCGCTAGATCTTTTTTTAAACTTGGTAGGATTTAGAACACGGCGTTTTTGTGTTGTGTGGTATGGTATGGTAGATTTTGTTATAGATCTAAGCTAGTTAATTGGATAGCTATATAGACACTCCTCCTCTCATAGGCTGTATTGTAGATATAAGTATACACGGAAAAGATATATAAACTCGGCGGGGGCTCGGTGTGAATGTTGTAGAGCCTAATGATGGAGCTGTTCCCTATGGCCCGGTATCTTTGGTGACTATGAATGGTTGAGTCAATGCTTAATTGAAGAATGTGTATTGCTGTTCTGCAGATGCTGTGCTCTCTCCCTTAGGGGCATACGGAGGCGTGGATTCAGGTCCCAAAGGCGATGGATGTGTTCTGCTGTTTCGTTAGCTAGCTTGAGACATCTAAGACGGAACCCTGGCTTGGACAGCTGTTCATTGAGATGTTGGAGTACGTAACCCGAAGCCTGCCAAGACGGAATACTTCTCGAGTGATGGGTCATGTTTCCATTGTTTAAAAACATGTCTTTGGGATCGCTGGCAAGCTCACTTCCGCCTCACAATTACCTCGAGAATCCCTTGGTGCCGGAAAACCACAAATTTGAGCTCATTAGCAAGTTCTTTTCGCTATAATCTACTAGAGCTAAACCTTTTGATTAATATCTACCTTTGATTAAACTAGTCCATCTGCCCACAGCAGGCAGCCACCTAAAAACAGTCCATTTCATGACCAGCTACGACCCACCAGCATCCTCCGCCACATCCATCCACCCATCCTCCACCGCTTTCTTCAGAGCCTCCCACCCCCGCGCCACCACTAACGCCTCCACCCCACCCGCCCACTCCGCCTCCACATCCTCCCAGCGCACCCTTCTCCCCGTCCTCCTCTCCACCACACACCCCCGTTCCCCCTCCTCCCTATACTCCAGCCTCCCACCACTCAGCAGCTTCACCGCCTCGCCCACCTCCACAAGCTCCGAATCATATCCGCGCTCATGCGCGCCGACAAAGTGCGCGCCGTAGTCCGGCACCCGCACCGCGTCCGCCGGGATCGTGCACAGGAACCAGAACGCCACGTACAGACAGAGATCACCCAGCTTTTCTGGAAGCCGCACGGGCCGACGGAGTGTGTGCGGCATGACCTGTAGGTGGATGGCTTCGGTGTGGGGCCCGATGCTGCTGTTGCTACCGGTGGGCTGTAGGGTTGCGTGGGGGGTGCTGAGGAACGTGGCGGTGTAGCCGGCCTAGAGCTGTTAGTATAGCTGTATAGCTACTCTATACTCTACTCTCTCTATATAGGATAGATGATAGGACGGGCATACCTCTTCAAGCGTCTCCCTCACAGCGCAGTCCTCGATGCTCTCGCCAATGTCTTTGCGGCCGCGCGGCAGGAACCAGAGGCAGCTCTCGCGCGGGGTGCCGGGGCGCGTGCGCGAGGTGTCTTGGATGATGAGAACCTTGCGGGTCGAGGGCTGGAAGGTTGCGGTGCCGGCGGCGAGGACGAAGTTGCTGGAAGGCCAGTGGGTGCTTTGGGGCGGGGTGAATGTGGTGGGCTGGGACATGATGCAGGCGGGGGTGTTTAGGTATGCGTGCAATGTTGTGCAGGTGAGTATCTTCCCAGTTTTGAGTGGTTTGGGAGAAGGGAGAGGGTTCAGATTGGAGTTGGAGAGCCCTTCATGACACGGGGCGTTGCGGGGAGTGCGGGCTCAATCGTGGCCGTAGTGGGATATTAGTTAACTGGAGCTCGGATCACTTCCGTTCTTGGAGGGGTTGTGGTGTAACCCTAGCCCTGGAGGACCCCGCCCGCTCAATGAACGAACATCAAAATTGTTGTTGGTGAATCTTCGGTCGGCGAGAAACTCCTGGAAATAATGGCATTAGGATGCTAGAACATAACATTATAACGCCCAATAGGAGCATCAAAAATACCTCTAGCCGCTTGGTTTTAACATCGATATCCAGGCGTTTTTTAATTAGACAATCGATCCTGCACCAAATTCTACTGCTTGGGGTATTCTATACCTTTAATCTTAACCTCTTATTCGTCACTTGTGGCTGTATTCCATACCATTTTAGAAGCTTGAAAAGATAAGCTCTAACTACATGTACTCAACAGAACAAATTCTTCAGACCAAAGTTATTCCATTATTTGACACAAGGTACAAATACAATTTTAAACACTACTCTTTTGTATTAGCTCGGCTTCATTTCTGTTGGTTACTCCACATTTGGTTGACCCCTTGTGAAATACAAGATATTCAAGCTAATATGTGTTTTTCTGAAGAGAAGTCTAGGTTTTGAAATAAAAGGTCTAGTTCTACCATGCATAGGTCGATTGATGGAGGAATGTCACGAATAATCTGATTACACTATACTAGGTGTCCTAATTATACACTTTCTTCCCTAAATCAAAATCATATGGAGAGGAAACATCTCAAGGGAAAATATATAGTAACGTTTGTAGCCGGGGTAGAGATCTGAATGAATGCATGTCACTATCAATGTGTGGTTTTAATCATGCGATGTCACTCGATAAAGCTCAAGCTTCTCACAAAATAAGCGCTAGCGGATAAGGTTTAACGAACTAAACACTAGCACGCCTGAGGAAACTTTGGTCAAATGGCAGAGGATACGTCATCCAGAGGCTATGAGACACCAACTGTGAGATGCCACAGACAACCATCCTACATCTTCACGTATCATCAGCATCATCATCAGCATCGACAGCATCAGCATCAGCATCATCGCCGGCATAATCATCGCCGGTATCATCATCAGTCCGTTTCTTCGACATCCCCCCTTGAGATCGGATGTTATCTATGTTCTACAAGCTTTCTGCTCTTACACCGGCACACGCATGACCGGCTATTGTCATTTCCTCACCTCTCATGAGTCACTTTCGTGAGACAAAATCCGCGGGATTTATGAAATAACCTGTATCTTTCTTACTTCAGCAGACACATCAAATTCGGAAAATCCCTTACACAACCGCTTGTGATTAATTCCGCTATTCACTCAAATAAACAATTTTTTTCTCTTTTGTTTTTTAAAGAAAAGCAAAAATGATTAGAATCTATTGATCGTTCAGATGACACCGGGTTCATAGCTGCCGGACAGCTCAAAGTGGTTACTATACTTTTCGATATGCGATTTCACATGTGTAAGGATCTTCCATTTCTAATAATGGAGCCAGGGATTTTCATCCCAGTAAGCACATCCAAGTACACACGCAGGTACCATCACGAAGATTCTGGGTGATGTAGGATGTAGTTGCACATTTTGAAGAGAATTTATCTAACCTTTTTTCTGTTAGAATTCCCTATATACTTTTTTTCAGCTCGTGTTTAAGAATATTCACAATCAATTACCTAATTCGGGATACCTTGCATAGTTTGAGAATCCCGTATCGGTTGCGGACCAACCAGGCAACGGTACGGTACGAGAAGTAAGTGAAACCTCAACCTCGCGATCGCTTCTTGCAAGTACATATGCGACTCTAATATCGTCCCGTGGATACAGTAGTCTACTGATCACTAGATCGACCACCAAAATCCGCCAAGATTGAGAGATACATACCAAAAATTATGTTTCCTACTAGACGGGTAAACGGATCTCACCTGGCTGGATAAGCGGCAAGAAAATTACTACATCACATAGTAGATTTAGGTGAGCAATGTTTAGGATTTTTTTGCAGTAACTATTCTAAACGCACTACCGATCGCCATATTTGATACATAAATTTATAAAGCTGACGCTACAGAGTGATGGGTATATTAGGCTTTGCGTTCAGCTCAAACACGGCGCGCTTTGACGTCTAATAAATATATATAGGTGTATAAGAATTTTCGGTATTTCTTGCATCGGGCCAGGTCCCGGGGGGCGGAGGAAAGAGAGGAGGCAGTAAAGGCCGAGATCGGACGGCGCCAATTCTCGGCCGGAATAAACGTTCAATTATGGATTTATCTTTTTTTAAACGACAGTAAAGGTCTAAGTGTTCGTGTGAGATTGACCACGAGGTATAATGTTTGATTTACCGTACGCATGCGCACCCCTCTAATCCTATTTAATTGTACGACCGACGGGATTTAACATCTCCGGTTGGTCTGATTAACTTTCGATAGAATTACTGAAAGTAATACGCATTGCATCATTCGGGAAGTGTCTCAGATCATAGCCCACAACTAATCAGCACAATTCGGTTCTTTCTCTGCACGGAATTAAATATCTCCGAGTTGGCGAAGATATACGATGCGCTTACCGAATTAATCGGCTCCCAAGAAATGCACGCATGCTTTTTTATTACTTCTTTGAGTACACTCGTGCATACACTCATGCATGCATGTGGAATCGAACTCTACCACTTCGACCACTTGAACAATTTCACTATGACTCCGTTGGAATGATTAACCAGATCAGCAAAGTCTTATATAATGGATGGGATCAATATGCTCTACTAACCGCCTGTAACCCAAGGAGGAAGCTCGCATAACAGACCGTCTATATAGCGATGTATTATAATATGGGGCTGTGACCTGGGAAACTAGCGACACGGTTGTTCACTCCGCATCTCATGGGCAACATTACACTTGACTTGTGTCCCTCGTTTAAAACTATTGAGGTCCAATCCGGGGAAACAATGATGGCCACCCAGGTTTCTTGGCGAGTGAGAAAGCAACTTCCTTATCTGATCTATTCTCCCCTGAAGTACTCTACCACATGTTCGAGACCCTTCACCACTACCGCCGGCCTATTATGGTGGTTACACGGCTGTAGGTTAAATATTCCACGTCTCGGTTGGTCCGGCACTGGTGTTAGCGTGCCCTTACTGCTGATACGAGCTTAATGAGAGTTTGTACCACGATGCTAACCTACTCTACACGCACGTGTAGTTGTGGTGGGTGTGTATTACCCTACTTACTTTTGGTAGAAATCAGCTGAGTTCTTCAGCTTCATACATAATCACTCCGATTTTTTGGCGGTGAGATTACTGGCTAACTCTATACAGAGTACGGGTTATGAGTGGCTGAATGACTAGAGGCAGTGCCAATTAAGGAAACATATACTCACCTAGCTTTAGGACTTCGCCATTGCTATGTAGCTGGCTAACACTAGCGTGCGCGTCTGTGTGAGCGCAGCTTCTAAGGCAACCATAGCAGAATGCCGTCTACACATACCATCCTCCCGGCAGTTTATTCCTCGAAGACTCTTATCATAATAAACATTTTGCATCATGATGTTTTCCCAGCGGTAGCAAACATTTACCCCACCTGGGTAAGAATACCTTCGGTACGGCACGTGGTATTAGTACCAGGAACGGGAATACCCATGTTCGCTCGCTAGGAAAAGACATTGCGGTTGAAGATCTTCGTTTTGCCCAAGGCGCCAGGATCAGCGGCTATTTGTGTCCGAAGCCCTAACTCTAACAAACCATGCTTGATTCAGCAAATGGCTTGGCAAATCGATCTTACCAGTGCGTGCTGGACCTGAATATTTACTGCGAGTGTGATTTTGGACGAGCATGTGTGCTAGGAATACGTGCAGGTCTTGACGACAGACTGATTCGTATGACAGCAGGAAAAATATCTTTGAGTATTGGTAAATGACAGGCTCACCAGGTTGTTAGGTTGTTAGGATCATACATGTTCAAGAGTAGCCTTGCGCTGACTCGTGCAGCTCAGAACGCAGTCAAGGTTTGATGGATTACAAAAGATACAACTAAGTAATTACTTGCAAAGATTATCCATGAAGCTGCCTCGCTAAGCTTACTAGAGGAATCGTATGCTAATTGTTACTATTCAGCACGGCGAGAATCATGAAAAATCACTCGACATATTGATGATTCACAACCGCCGTGCCTGGAATCCCAAACGAAACCGCAAGGCTTACATTTACCTTACAAACAATATAAAATCTCACTTTATCCAAATACGTTTTCAAAAGTGCCTCATGACAGAAGTGCCGTCATATATCAATTGTCATTAAGACATCACGAGTACCTTCTTTCCCTGATCCCGTGAATAGCTAGGCGCGAAATGAAACCAAGGCAAACATCATCATTCAATTATTCAATCATTTCCAAGCAAGAATCAGAACAAAACAGCTTCCTCTTTCGATAAACGTCCTAAGGATGAGCGAGAGGCCGCATCCGTAAGAGACCTCCGGATATCCGAGGAGCAAGATTCAATCTATGGTATAATGCCTTAGTCGCCTTATCATATGATCTGTAATCGAGGCCAAAAATACGTGCGGTGAATGAATTCAATACTCTAGGATTTACCCCACTATACCGTAGTCGTGGATATCAAAGCAATGCAGGTACTATCATTTTGCATTCGATAACATATGTGCCGTGCTGCTGCGGTTCACTTTCCGCAGCTTCCAGTTTGGGAAATTATTAGAAAAGTTGAACCTATTACCATTTCGATCTTGTGGAGGCCATGCATGTATCGGATCACAAAGATTGGAAGGTACCGGGTGCTCACTGTTTCCGGAGATTTTTTGCGGGGGGTGGGTAAAGATGAATACTTATGCAAACTTATAGTCCGACGCACATATACACGGTCTTTACCGTCTACCTGGGTGGTTACTATGTATGTGCTACAGCATATGCCACTCCATTGGACTTCTTGACCCTCGATTCGCAGGTCACTTGCAATGCAATGTTCACGGTTTGTGAGCCATACTGTACCCCTTTTGCTAAAGATTCTTGGACTCGTGGCTGATTGATGCAGGACTATAATCGCAATGCTATATCTGCAAGGCACTTTTTTCTCGGCCCATGCATATAGTAAATTGTCTAATAATACAAAACTTCTTTCTTTTTCTTTTTTCTTTACTCATGTCTAATAGATCGTGGAGGCTTTTCTGGTACTACATGCAAGTAGGCTTGACCCCTTTCGGATATGGATAGTGCAATTTAGTAGCAGTGGTACTAACCTATTGTGTAGACGCTAGAAATGGAATTAACCACAACCCCTTCGCAATATATGTCTCCACGACTACAACGTAGTCAGTAATCCGCGCGGAAAATACCGAATACCGAAAGCCGCAAAAGCCTTCGCCCGAGAAGGTGAGAGAAAGATAGAATTTCAATTTCTGGATCTATGCACTCTGCATAGGTATGTATGTAGCCTAACTTTCTTTTACGTCTCTCGTTTTCCCTTCACCGAGCGTGCCGTTCGTTTCGGACGTATGTTATAGCCATAAACTCAATTAAAGTGCTTATTAGTCTCAACTAAATCCCGCTTTCGATCGTCAGGCACCATAGTAGCTACATGACTGAGCGGCACCGGCCAAGGCGCGGCGAGGGCATGTAGTGAAAATCCGGAGGCAACCCGTATCGCCCTTAAGCTTGTCTTTACTGCCCATGACCATGTGTATGCACCGGTGACCGGCCCCTATCAACATTAATGTTTAGCTACTCTGACAGTCCCGTTCTTTGATCTGACACACCCGTCTGTGTACGTGTACCCAATACACCTAGTGAATTAGGTTACGTAGGGGCGCCTGGAATATTCATTCATCCCCTACTCAACTCGAGTACTACATACAAATGACACAGAGGTATATACAGGTAGCAGAAGAAAATACAGTCGAGAGATTTGAGGCTGTATTGTGCTATATTTCGATAAGACCGCATCGCACTATATCTCGACGTGACGCGTAATCGTCCTGGCTCAGTGCGAAGTAGCCGAATTCGGAGATATATATTAGTTGTGGTAGTAAAGCAGAGCACGGCTAGCACGTGGGATTGGCTGGGGAGGGGGGACCCCGGTAGAGAGCCGCATAGAACAGGTCCGCTACCCCTTTTTGGGGAAGAGGGGTTAGGTTTTTAACAATCTACTCGGCCAGCTATGCATCGTAGCTAATAATTTTGTTTTGTATTTTTTGCTAAACTTCTAGCCGAGGCTGGTGGCTGATGCAGGTACAGTATATTGGGGAGGAGGTGAGGGTGCGGTGGGGGATCGATATATTCGATTTTATTAGGGGGACTTGTACATGGCAGTTGGGGGTACTACGAGCTGGGATTAGTACTGCACTCTTGCGGCCAGAGGGCTGGGCCGTGGCCGCGGCCGCACAGCGCCAGGTACTCTATTTCTTGAATTCTCTGATTTTGAGATACTTCGGCCTCACCGCGAGGAGAAGGGCTTGATAGATTAATGGGTACAGGAGGAGAAGAAGGGGAAATAAAAATAGGTGATGCATGCGCAACTCTCTCTCTCTCTCAGGTGTAATAGAGTAGCTGAGTAGAGAAGAAGAGGGGGATATGGACCCTGATTGGCCTGGCCGGCCGGTAGCCTAACCATGCCTTTTGCCTTGCAATAGTCCACGGTTCGAATTCATAGATACGATACTGGAGCAGAAGGAGAGCCAGAAACAAAAGTACGTAGCTAATAACGCCAGATGTAAATCTACCGTACCGTATCGTAGCGTAGCTAGCATAACCCCTCCTCAAACACATATCACATACCACACACCCCTACCACGATTTCGATTTCCCCACTCTCTCCCTCTCCCTTTCCATCGACTACATGTAGCTACTAGCCCGCTACGTACGCTATCTACTTACCGACGCCAGAAATCTCGCTTGGGGTAACGTATTGCGTGCTGTGCAGGTACAGCCTATAGCAGAGCTGTTATGATCTCAGTGTCCCCTCGCCCCAAATATAAGCTTTGGCCAGATGCCCCTTCCCCCCCACTCTTTTCTAGCGAGGAGTTCCTGGCTGGCTGTAGCGAGCTCGAGGGAAAGGGGACGTTAACGCTGTTGGTGGTGCTTATATAGCGCATGCATTAAGAACTTGTGTACGGTTTGGCAGCTTGCGGATTCCTAACTAGTATGTACTGCTGCTCCTATTGTTGTACTCTGCTGGCATTAGTGCCTCGTCGATCTCGGAGAGAGGAAGAGGAAGGATATTGCTGGCTAGCAAATATGTGGAATTGCCTTTCTCGTTAGTTATTGAGGAATCATGGAGTAATGTCCATATCCTGTAGTATGTAGCCGTCGCCGTCGCCGTCGCCATCACCGTGCCGGCCGATGGATTCCCGTATATTACGATTGGAAAACAAATCAAATAAACAAGTGCTAAGAGTCGCATTAAGACTCACCAAAAGTCTACAAAATAGTAGTACAGAATAGTAATAGCCAAGACCACTACCACAGTACTTAGCTCGGCGGTAGAGTTTAGGGTTTTTCTGGCCATCATGTACCACCTCACCACATTCTGCCGACACACCGACACGCTCTAGAAGCTGGAATTGAGGTCGTGTGAGTGAGTGAGTGAGTGAGTCGGGGGTACGACAGCTTAAGCGAATATGGTACTCACTCACACTACTAATCGGCCCCCCCAGTCAAATCAAGTCACCAGTCTAGCCCCCCCAGCTGGGTCATGCAAGGGTCACCGATCACAGAGCTACCCACGGCTAATTCACACCCCGCTCGGGACCCCTGGCGCAATCTGTGATCCACCCCGCGCTAAGGTTCCGATCCGACCATGCAGGTTCTGTATACTGCTATCTTGGGATCTGCCGGGATGGTGGCATGGGGCGGTAGTGGGAGGGGCGAGTGATGGGTTGTGATTGCGGCTCATGCAGTGTTGCATTACATTGCATTGCATGGGCAAGCAGCAGCGCATTCCATTCCAGTGACAGGTGTTTTTGGTGATTGGACGAATGGGCGAAAAAGGTTTAATTCTGGCCGCTGAAAGTAAGAAAAAGCAAGGAAAACGTACAGGATGGGCTGTGGACGAGTGAGTAAGGCTCGCTGTGGCCGGGGGTCATGTCACAAGGCTTAACTTGAGGTGGCAGCGGGAGCGCTGTGGATTGGTCTGATAGTTTCAACCCGTAGAGGCGAAGTAAATAGGGTTACGGTTTTGCGGATTCCGGGTTCCTAGTTAGTGTATTACTATTACTATGTAATTACATGTATTTACTTCAGGGTAGTTACTATTCAGTGAGAATGAGCAACCTGCTGCGGCTGGTTGGTTGCGTACATGGTGGATCTTGTGATGATATTTTTGTAGTTTTAATTTCATGGATATTGGACCTAGGGGGTACGTATATCGTAGCTAGCTAGTGAGTGAGAGAGTCAAGACTTCGTAAATGAAAAAAGGAAAAAAAAAAAGAAAAAACTCAATGAGAAGTACTCGAAATAGCTTTTTACCAGGGTCCGCTCGAGATGAGAAAGAACTACTGCTATGTACATAGCTCGGGGACTCTAGGTCCGAGTGCTAGCTACTAGCTGGACGGGAAAGTGCAGTGCAGGAACTGCCGCATGGCCTAGTGCATGTCATGCTAGATCTGCCCGGTCGAGGTGGAGAGGGGGGGGGTGGGGGGGGGTGGAGGAGGAGGGTGCTGTCACGTTGCATACGGGATCCAGGAAGGGGGAGGGAAAGTAGTATCGAACGTTTCCCATGAGGAATTGTAGTACCGGGGGTGTGAGAGGGGAGTAGTAGGTACGAGAGAGGTGTGCATGTATACATGTATGTTTTAGATTAGACTCAAAGGTCTGACGAGAAAGTTATATAAACCCTCAACCGCAGGTGCATTATTTTTTTTCAATCCACCATCAGCAGCTTCAACATCAGCAGCTTCACCTTCATTCTCTCTTCTCCGGTATCAGATTCATTTCTAGCTTTCGATCTTTGACTGGACAGTAGTTGGTTCTTTGCACCACCGAAAACATGAACTCTCTCAACGCGCTCGCGCACCTTGCGCTACTGGCCACGGGGGCCATGGCTTACCCGACGAGTAATTACAGTCCCGCAGCAGCTGTGGGACTGCTCAAGAGGGCTACAGTTGGGAACAACCAAACCTACGGCAATGGTGACAATGGTCCCAATCTCAACACCGCCGAAGACAGAGGTGCCTGGTTGAAAGACTACGATATCAATACCGACTGGTACAATGAGTGGCCCAACACTGGCGTTGTGCGCGAGGTGTGTGGACATTCGGCTCCCCTTTGCATATTTGCAGATAGCAGAAAGCTAATAAGATATGTGCATGACAGTACTGGTTGACTGTCGAGAATTCAACATTTGCGCCGGATGGGTATGATCGCTTGATGTTGACGTTTAATGGCTCGTATCCCGGGCCAACGATTGTTGCTGGTATGTGTTGCTCTGCGTGATATGTTTCCCCTGTTATGGGAAGCTTTATGAGTATTATTATTAGTTTGTAGTACTGATTGAGGTGATTGGTTGCTTCTAGATTGGGGTGATACGGTCCGCATCCATGTCAAAAATAACATGGAGTTCAACGGCACCAGCATCCACTGGCACGGTCTGAGACAGCTCTGGACCACCGAGCAGGACGGTGTGAATGGTATCACTCAATGTAAGTTTCCCTTCCGTCTCACTCTCTCTTCTCTCCCCTACCACACTCCACACTCAAGTCTGCACAATATTACAATGGTTCAATATCTAACATTCTCCAGGCCCAATTGCCCCCGCCGATAGCTTCACCTACGAATGGACCGCTACGCAATACGGTACCTCCTGGTATCACTCTCACTTCTCCCTCCAATATGCTGAGGGTGTTGCCGGTGCCATCGTTATTAACGGACCTACCTCCGCCAACTACGATGAAGACCTCGGTCCCATAACGCTCACTGACTGGTACCACGCCACGGCTTTCTCTGAATGGCACATTGCGCAGACCAGCGGTCCCCCACCTGCACAGAACGGTCTCATCAACGGCACAAATGTTTTTGACTGTACCGATAGCACTGACACCGCCTGCATCGGCGGCGGCAAGCGCTTTGAGTTCCCCGCCTTCGAGTATGGCAAGAAATACAAGCTCCGTCTCATCAACACCTCGACCGATACCCACTTCCGTGTCTCACTCGATGGCCACAGCATAACAGTCGTCGCGGCTGACTTTGTCCCCATCACCCCCTTCACAACGGACTACCTCAGCATCGGTATTGGCCAGCGCTACGATATCATCATCGAGGCCAACGCCGCTGCTGATAACTACTGGTTCCGTGCTACAATTCAAACCACCTGCAGTGCCGTAAACGCAATGGCTCTCGACGTCAAGGGAATTGTGCGCTACAGCACCGCAACAAAATCTGCCGACCCCACCACCTCCGCCGGCACAATGACAGACAGCTGCCTCGACGAGCCACTCGAGAGCCTCATCCCCGTTGTCGCAAAGCCTGTTGCCGAGAGCGACCTTTCCACTGCGCAGGACGTCGAAGTTGGCATCGAGATTACCACCGTCTTCAAGTGGACGCTCAACGGCATCAGCGCTAACATCGACTGGGCCGATCCTACATTGCTCAAGCTACTCGATGGCGATAGCTACCCCACCGACTACCACGTTCTGGACCTTCCCACGGCTAATCAAATGTACTATCTGGTCATCGAGACGACCCTGGGTATCACGCATCCGATCCATTTGCACGGACATGACTTCTACGTTCTCGCCCAGGGTACCGGCGCTTTCAATGAGACGAGCACGCCTGTCAAATGGACTAACCCCATGCGCCGTGATGTTGCGATGCTCCCAGCCTCGGGGCATCTAATCATCGCCTTTGAGACTGACAACCCGGGCATCTGGCTCATGCATTGCCACATTGTAAGTCCATTCCATTCCTTCCTTCCCAGCCATCATCACAAAGAGTAAGACCAGAAAGCTAACAAGATCAACAAACAGGCATGGCACGTCTCTGGCGGCTTCGCGCTCCAGTTTGTCGAGCGCTCGGCCGACATTTTGGCGAATATCACGATCGATGACACCTGGCACGAAACCTGCACAAACTGGAACACTTACGACGCCTCGGGCATCGATCCTCCAAAGGATGATTCTGGACTTAGGAAGATGATGTTCTAAGAGGAGATCTCATTTTTCTTCTTCTTTTCTACATATTGAACCCTTTTTTTCCTTTCCCCTTTTGACTTGACTTGTTTTTGATTCCACACCCCCCCTTTCCCCCCTCGGATTGTTAATGCTGGATCGGGTATTCTGTCATGTAGCAGTCTTTCCCTTGTCTTATCTCTTTGTCTCATATCGCTTTTTTCTTTCCTTGTTTACTTGCTCTGTCTGACTCTACTCTACTGCTCTTCTCTGGAGGGCCTGTTCTTTTACTATTTTTGAATTCTATGTGTGTATTGTGTGTGTGTGGATGGATAAGAGGTGGTTGGGGGATGAGATGATATATATCATAGGACTTCTTGATTTTGTATTTTCTTTTGTTTTTTTTGTTTTAAATTTCTTGTTTATAATAAATAATGCTACGGGCTAGTTTTGTTGCGAATCTTGTTCAATCTCTGGTATTAATTATCCGGTAGAGTAGCTACTAGGTAGAGGTGAAGTCGGTAATAAACGGATTACTGATCATTACCAGTGGCAGGGGTGGGGGTGTGCCCTGGTAGACACTTGATAGGATAGGTTTGAAGCCGCAGTGAGGCTCGTGCGAGCAGCATTCCCCTTCTCGGCTATTAACAACAGCAATCTAGCCACTCGGCGTTTTGGCAAGTCAGCTTTAGGCAGGGACTAGACTAGCCTAACTGGAAATGTTCTTAGCAACCCCATCGGATAAACGTTTGCCAGCAGCTTATTAGAAGCCATGACATCACACTGAATAGGGTTATTTCGTTTCTTAACCCCGCATTCTGGTTCGTTCGTTTGGATTTGTAAAAAAGGAAAACTCCCAAGCCCCAGCCGAGACCGAAACCTCTAACAACTACAACGACTCTACGATTTAAATTCGATTTTGTAGGTTTTCGCTCAATGTGGGCATACTCCTCTTCTGGTCGAGCACCCACGCTGAGATCGCTGCTGTCGCCGTTGCTTAGGTTCAGAGGAATATCCACTCGCACCATGGCCACCTACACCACCAACACATCCAGCTACAGGATGAACCACACCATGTATGTGTGCTCGCTCCGTACCTCATGCCTCATACACTCAGGAAGACGCCTTGCTGACCACTCCCATCCAGGTTGAGGGTCAAGGACCCCAGCAAGAGTGGTATGTTACATACCTACCTAGTTCTTTTCCTGATCATGAGCGGCAGCAGCAGCAGTAGTATTTGAGGCCGCAGATGAGTCGAATCTAATATGATGATTTGGAAACCATAAAGTCAAGTATTATGAAGACAACTTCGGCATGAGCTTGATCAGGAAGTCAGTGCCACCCCTCCGCTTGTCTCAGATGGATGATGTCGTAATTGATGTGTACAACCCCCTGCTGATATTTGATCTGAGGGTCCGTCCAGACTGGACTTTGAGGAAGCAAAGTTCTCGCTGTACTTCCTGGCCTTTGACTCTCCGCAGGCTGTGAGCCACGGGAAGGAATGGACGGACCGGGAGGGGCTGCTGGAGCTTACCCATAACTGTGGGATCATCCTCCCCTCGGTTTCACCAGATTGGTGCCAGATTCGTGGTTAGCTGATATCTTGACTTGCGAATCGAGTGTAGATGGAACAGAAAATGATCCGGAGTACAAGGTGAACAACGGGAACGCGGAACCGCACAGAGATATGTCCCCCCTCGTCGCGGATCGAATGTTCAGCTGACGCTAGTGATGGTGTAACACGCTTTGGTCATATGTAGGATCGTCCCGACCAGTAGAGTCGATCAATCCCGACGTGGTGGTGGGGAAAGGGAAGGGGAGGGGAGGATCACGATCATGCAGGGCTGATGATGGGACAATTTAGTGCATTTTCGGTCGACAACATTGAACACGCCTGTGCGCGCCTCGAGTCAAACGGCGTCAGCTTCCAAAAGAAGCTCGCCGATGGCCGCCAGAAGAACATTGCATTCGCTCTCGACCCCGACGGCTACTGGGTAAGCTTTTTTTCTTCTGAAACAGAATTCGAACCCGACCGCCGCCGAGACATGCATCACCTCAGACAACCGGAACTAACGGCGAAACCAAAAGGTCGAATTGATCGCTCAGGAAGGAAGCAACGCAGAAGCAACAACGACCGACCTCCAATCGTACCGCTTCAACCACACCATGATCCGCGTGAAGGACCCCGAGAAGTCGCTGCAGTTCTACCGCTCCGTGCTGGGGATGAGTCTCCTCCGTACCATGGAAAGGCCGGAGGCCAAGTTCAACCTTTACTTCCTTGGGTACCGCCAACCAGGGTACCCGGAGGGCCACCACACCGGTGAGGGAAATCCCTTAGCGTCGATGGAAGGCTTGGTGGAATTGACCTGGAACTATGGCACGGAGAACGATGATGATTTCAAGTACCACAATGGAAACGATCAGCCTCAGGGCTTTGGGGTATGGATCTTGCGTTACGAATTCTTTCTTTCCTTTTTCTTTTTTTCTTTCTCTTTTTGGTGACCGGTATTGGATTTACTGACATGGCACTCTCTGCTTGAAGCATCTTTGCATTTCTGTTGATGATCTTGATGCCTCTTGTGCCCGATTCGAGGACCTCAACGTCAACTGGAAGAAGCGATTGACCGACGGCCGGATGAAATCAGTAGCTTTCATTCTGGACCCCGACAATTATTGGATCGAGTAAGATTTTCCCCCAGTAGAAAAGATACAAAAGAGCCTATATAGTCAGGGATTGTACTAATAAGTCTTTGTTATTGCAGAGTTATTCAAAATGAAAAGCTCAAGTCCAGGGCCAACTGGTAAGGCAGGCAGGATTTTTACCTTAGTGCGCTTTCTAAGTTTAGTATCAAAAAACAAATGCCCACTGGCCGCGAGCCTATTCTGTCCTGTCCTGCACTGTCCATCTGATTTACGAGTCTAAGCGTTGTACACGTTTCTATTTCTTTTTCAGCTTTCGATTTACAGTTTCTTTCAATTACGCCAAGGGGCATGGCCTTTTATCGCGAAAGGCAGGCGGGCTAGCTGCATAGCGTGATCGGGCATACTTTCAATGCTTAATCTAGAAATTGTACGCCCCATGTTGTGGTCAACCAACAAATAAAAGTTTCTTTTGAAGAAAAAAGGTCTCAGATTTTCCCCCCTTCCCCTTCACAGATATGGATAGAGTATGTTTTCAGCCTGTCAACCAGGATGTTCGTTTTGGTGCGCCGTATATCGACTTCCAAATGCACCCTTTGTGCTTGTAAGAATAGTTAAAATTCCTATCAGTTGACCGCGCTGGCAAATGCTGGTGAGGCGACTTTGACGTCAATTCCCAGGTCTTTCCCGATAAACGATGTAACTAATGTAGGTATATTATGTAAGTACTGATATTCCCTAGTGAGTCTTGTGCTTACTCTCCCAGGATTGTTGCTACTTTCCATGTACATAATACACTTGACAAAGCTAGAAAATAGAGAAGAGAGAGAGAGAAAGCGGTGAAACTCGTATTCCTTTCTTTTTTTCTTTCCAAGTTTAGCCCCAGGCTTCCCGAATGGATAGCAAGGGACACTAGTGGAAATCGCGGCTGTAATCTTTGAAAACAATCGAGTTTTTTCTGGGGGAAGAATTCCCTGTTCAGCTCCCAGGGCACCCCCCTTTGGCGGGAACCAATTGGCTGCTACTTGCAGCGATCATACACTAGTTGATCGCAACGCATCATACCCATCCGTACCCTAGCAAATTCCTCTTTTAGCCCCCCCCCCCCAAATATTTTGTTCGCAGATGGAAAAAGAGGAGAGCTAGAGCAGCTGGGTATGTCGTTAGTAGATTATCAAGGATATGTTGGAATTTACAGCCGCACGAAGGCTTGCTTTGTGTATCGCGCAGCCCAATGATAAGCGAAAGGTAAAATAACATCAGACGATTTTGGAATTGGACCTACATGTTGTACAAATAGTTACCCACCCGGTCCATACCGAGCGAGGCGTATATATAGAGTAAGCAATGCATCGACCTGTCTGTATGTCAAAGTTGACAGTTTTAAAAGGGCATAAATAGCTTAGCTAAATCCACCGCTAGTATTGGCTCGTTCGTGATTATCTATCACCATTCCGCATCATGTAGGTTATTTAGAATGTCAGAGTCACACACCCAGAACCTTTCTTTTTTTGCACAAGCAATATGCAAGTAGCTAGGCGATCGGTTTGCCTTACCAGTCATTGCCAGCGATGCTGATAGCAGTGACCTTAGGGCTTCACCGGATGTATGCCGATTGATGTATGTATGATAATACACCTACCAGTGCAGATACAGGTACAGGTACCGTACCACAAACTGCACTTTTTATCTTGCTTCGAGAATCGCACAGTTTTTCTCGGGAGATGGAGAGAATAGTAGAGTATATTGCCAACCCCTACCTGCTCCTACTCTATTCAGTGCTATATATAAGCGACAAACGCGCGTCTTGCAGTGAAGCTTTCGGAGGTGGGAATCCGAGCCTACCGAGCCCCATTCGAATTTCCGAACTCCGAAGAAACCTTTAATTTTTTCCCTTGTCTTTATCCAATGGGCGTCGCCCCGTGGTCTTACCTCATGCATCGACTGGGGTGGGTGGAGGGGGGATGAATGCCCGGAATTCTTGAGGTAGAGCAAAGTATTGCGGTCCTATCATGCGGGGGAGGCGGGAAATAAGCTTCTATATGAGTAAGTTCCAGTGGCCTCGTATGCATGGGAGGAAGAACCGTATGTTTATTAGGTAAACTGGGATTGAGGTAAGGGTTGTCACGGGGGTGACCCTTGATGATAACGCGAACAACTTGAAACTGTGAGGTCATGAGAGATCACTCGGACCTCTGGTTAAGAGGGTTAGTTTATTTCGGGGAGTTGGGGAGTTAAAAGACGGCATGCGATGCAGATCTGTAAAGAAAGGGATAGGTGTACGTACGCGACGGTAGGTCGGCCGAAGGGATACCTGGGTGTACGTATATACTATATATTGCGTCGATATATATCTTGTGTTCGAGGACGTCTTAAATCGGTTTTATCCCAGGTAATAGCACCCGAAGTGTTATTAGTTGCGATCATTATATTTAGCGCTGGGTATCAGACGAGTGATAACCCGTGACGTAGATGAAACTTTTCTCACCGGTAAATAGGCCCGTTGAAATGCAACCAAGATATAGCTCAGCAAGCAATTGCACGATATTATAGTGGTTCTATTCTTGCAGTATATCTGACATCAATTGTATTTGGAGCGGTAGAAAGTCGACACAGCAACATGGGAACCTGCATCAGCTCAGTTTCAGCTTTGATCTTTTCGGGAGCGATTGTTGCTGCTGTATACGTACCCCTGACTTTTCACTGCCATCAGTTGTGGGTTTTGAGACAACTGCAAATTTCACATGCTTATTGAAATATTCCGGGAAAACTCTAATATCAATGATGCAAGAGCCCGAGACACGGACAAAAACGTTTCCGGCAATTTCGGAGGCGGGATAGTAAGATACCATGAGGCAATATACATCTATCTCGCTTCGGAAGATCTTAGGAGCGTCCCGAAATACCTATACAGTCTCTTACCTGTACCTGTAGTAGCCCAACGATCTAGGACAAGAATCAGCCCAGCGCTCTAGGATTCGCCAGCAATGCTGTATTAATGAAATGGTAAATAGACCTCCGTGTCCAGATTTATTGAAAAAACGATGATGATATCCCAGCCATAGGGTAAACGTTGGCTAGGTCGATCATAGCCAGTTTTAGATTAAGATCTACAAATATATCAACGTTTAGAGTTTTTTCTCCGAATGTCAATAAAGCTTGACCGTACGGGTGGGTACTTCCGCTCCTGGTTGCCATGGCACGGCTCAGAATCCCAGTTTATTACAGGAGGCTTACGAGTCAGATTATATGTGGAAGTTCACAATAAAATTTCTGCGTACGTGGTTTGTCATCAAGGTGAGAATAGAAATGGATGAAGAAATCTTCGCGGATTTGGCTGTTTCCCTCCAACCGCTCATGTAGTTTATCGTAGATAATTATGCCGAAGGCGTACGTATTGAAAGAAAGGCTTGGCTGCCCGACCCCCCTGGTATTCCCTGGACTTTATCCACACGGCCCGGGAACCCGACTGCTGCTTTTGGACATATATATATATCTATAAATTGTGCCATATACTGGTTTCTTGCTTTCGCCATTGCCCCTATCATATACATATAATCGGACCCAGTCCATATATATATATGAGTAGATAAATGCCTAACTAGTAATGATCATCCATTTTGGGACGCAAAGTATTGTAAGGCAACAGATATTGCCTGTATTCGATTTACCAAAGTTGGGGTAGATCTTCATGCGCATAGTCGTTAACCTTCCACTATAGTGCTCCGCTGGCTCGGAACCCGCGCATAGACAGAAAGTTTTATCTCTAAAGTTTCTAGGGCCAGTGTACCACCGGTAACGCATTTTCGAGGCGTAATTATAGTAGAGCACGTGGAATTAATATGAAAAGCTGGTTGAGATGATTTCGAACCCTTTATTGTTTTAGAGATGTGGTGGTACCGGCTCCTGTGCTTTTAACAATGTATAGGTCCTTTCGAAACTGATAGCAAGCGACAATCGATTGCAGTATCAGCCCATTTAATATATGCCTATATGAGGCTGGGATAATGTTATGTGACTTGGCTAGGCTCTCTGCCGGGACCGTAATTCATATAAAAGTCTAAAGTAGAGCAGTGACCTAGATAGCCTTGGAATTGATTGCTTGTAACTAGGACCTTATTAGCAGATTTCAGTAATCCAAATAACGAGTAACCAGAATCTCAGATGGATTGAACCATCATCTAAAATAGCAGAACGTAAGGCTATATTGACTATGAGCAAAGGCTGAGATACGTATTGATCCGGTCCATAACAGGATGGGATGAACAATCTCCGTTTCGGAACTTCAGACTGTGGGGATCAACCTAATCAAACAAAGTAGGCGTGGTTGAAGCCGCCAGATATAGAGGTCACGGCCAAATTTGGCGTCTCCGGTTTAGTAAAGTAGTGGGTAGACTCTGAAGGCCAAGATAGGTAGATAAAACGGACTGTATCAATGCTGATATGTTTTTCAACAAGTGCCGGGTTAGCTGCAGAATGTACACGAGGGATGAAAGGTGATGGAATAGGGGCGAGAAACCTGTATACATGCCTTGAAGTAACGTTGTGCTAAAGCAAAGGCGTATTACCACACCACCCGCATCCTCACCGGCCATCCCTTGGCAGGGACACGCTGAAAGATACATTTAGTTTTAAACGTTTCTTGAAACCAGGACAACATGCTTTAGAGAAATAAACTGGAGGCCTAACGTTATAACGGTTAGTAAACATCACCACTCGGTAGTCGAAACGGGCCTGGCTATCCTCCCGGCGGTGCGAACTGCTTCTCCATCTATCCGTCAGCACTTGCGCCAAACGGTAGGAGGGGCTTAGGAAGACGGTTACTTGCAAATGGACCGATTGATGTTCTCGGGATAAGGGAGGGTCTGGCCTTTCCATCCAGTTGCTGCGTAAACCTTAAAACTCCCACTAACGCTTCCCAGAAAGTCTAAACCGCATCGAGCGATCGAGTGATATATCATGAATATAATTCACAGAGCTTGAAACTTGCGAGTACCCCAATATCCTGGGCTCATCTAGCATCAAGTCTTTTAAGGCTACTACACACATACATGTAGTTTAACTTATTTCTGGCTTACCTGGGCCGTTTTTGAAAAAGGTTTGATTTTTTTTCTGGACATTTTCATCCCCAAGATACATACGCCCAAGACCATGCTAACAATGTG